CAGAGTTGGGGGTTCCAGAGGAGGCTGGGGGGTGAGTGGGACTGGGATGGGGGTGAGGAGCGGCGGGTGGGGACTGAGCTGGGACAGTAGGATGGGAAGAGGGGTCGGGTCGGAAGGGGTTAGAGCTGGGGAGGTCTGGAGGGGTCCGGGGACGTGAGTGGGGCTGAGGACTGGGATGGGGGTTCGAAGGGGGGTGCGACGGGGTTGAGGTATGATGGGGTTGGTAGGGGGCAGAGCTGGGGGGTCTGGAGGGGGCCGGGGGAGTGAGTGGGACTGGGGACTGAGGACTGGGATGGGGGTGGGATAGTGGGGTGGGACAGGGTTGGGGTATGATAGCGTTAGCAGGGGCAGAGCTGGGGAGCTCTGTAGGGCGCTGGGGCGGGGGGTGAGTGGGATGGGGGTGGGATAGGGAGGTGGGGACTGAGCTGGGACAGTAGGATTGGAAGAGGGGGCGGATCAAAAGGGGTTAGGTCTGGGGGGGTGAGTGGGGCTGAGGACTGGGATGGGTTCCAAAGGGGGGTGGGATGGGGTTGGGGTATGATGGGGTCAGAAGGGGGCAGAGTTGGGGGGTTTGGGAGGGGGCTGGGGAGCTGAGTGGGACTGGGGAACCACACACCTTTGCACCCCCGCGGCACTGGGCTTTGTATCCCAGGGCTCCCAAGCCAGGCTGCCGGCCCCTGATTTCTCACCAATTTCGGGGTTGGAAAGGAGACAGTGCCAGGGCCCATGCTAGGACCCCAGGGACTTGGGGCAACAGCTGGGGCTGCCCCCCAAGTCAGCCCTGCCCCAGGCACTGCTCCCATGGTGGGTAGCACTGGAGCCAGGGAGCCAGGGCCTGGAGCAAGAGTTAGGGGGTGGGGGGCTGGTGGGTTCCTCTGGCTAGAGGGAAATGCAGGGTGCATGTGAGCAGGGGGGCTCCAGGAGGCGAGGGGGCCCCATTGCAGGAGGGGGAACTGGGCAGGTGTTTGTGCTGATCTGGGGATGGGGTAGCAGAGATCCCCCCATAGGGCTGGCCTGGGTGTCACTCATCGCTGAGGCTGGGCTACCGCCCATAATGCATGCAGGGACCTGGGCAGGAGCAAGTGGGGAGGGTGTCGGGGGGAAGCAGGTGGTAAAGGACTGGCCAGTGCAGGGCTGGTTTCCCTTCCAGGTCCCCCCTCCAGACAGGCAACTTTGTCCAACCTGTTCCTAAAAACTGAGGGGAAGTCCACAGGCTCCGAGGGAGGGTGTGGAACCCGCCTCATTGGAGGGTTTTTTTAGCAACTGGTTGGTTGGCCTAGGTTGACTTGGTCCTGCCTCAGCCTGGGGGTTGTGTGTGCCCTGGAGGCCCCGTCCAGCCCGTTCTGTGATTCTGTAGCTTGTTCTTTCCAAGGTGAAACTTTTTTTTTTAAAGTTCCGAGAAGCGCTAGATCCAGCCCCTGTTCTGGGGGAGGCTGGAACAGGGGGTCCCTCAGAGCGCTCTCCCTCCCACTCAGAGCCCTGGAGATGTGCACTCCTAGCCTAGGCCTGGTGGGCTGCCCCGTGATGCCGAAAGGTGTGAAGTGTAAAGCATCTGGCATTTGCATTGGAATGATAATCGGGACTGCATGCAGCTGCTTGGGGCCTACTGCCAATGAAGGTCAACAGGAAGTGTTCCATTGACTCCAGAGGGCTTTGGATCACGCCCTTAAAGTACATGTGTGTGATAGCTCTGGGCTCTGGCTGTGAAAATGTGCGTGAATATCTACGTTCCTTTTAATCCTCATGGGGCAGATCTGCAGCTGGTGGAATTGGCCCCAGCTCTATTGAAGGCAATGGAGCCATGACAACTGACCCCAGCTGAGAATCTGCCTTTTTAACTTCTAGAAATAACCAGTCAAAAGAAAAGGAAACCTCACTCTCTTCGGGTAAGCCACAGTCGCTTGTCCATGTGCCTTACTGACTGGTGTATTTTCATGTCTGGGGATATAAGTATCAACATCTGGGCCCTATTTGAAGGTCAGGTGATTCTTGTGTATCCCAACCTGAAATTCTAAGGGAAGAGAATTTATCTTTGGAGATACCTCCCCCCATACCCACTACAAAGGCATGTAATTCCTTTTGCTGCCTGGAAGGCTGAATAATAGACTGTAACAAAAGCAGAGCTCTGGCTTGCTCCCGCTCGGGTTTTCCACTGGCTCTGCTTTGCATTGGAGGGGGCTGATTTGATTTGCTCTCTTTGGGAGAGGTAAAAGCTATGTCACATGAGGCCATTGTGCAGCCAGGGGAGTGAGCAGTCACTTTTGTTCTAAAGTGCATCTGAAGAAGTGAGGTTTTTACCCACGAAAGCTCATGCCCAAATAAATCTGTTAGTCTTTAAGGTGCCACTGGACTCCTTGTTCTTGTTCTAAGTCTCACAAAGCCTGTTCTATAGCAGAAGAAACGAGAGTGACTAAGCACTATGTTACCTGTGCATTTGCAGGGACTGCAAGTTTAGTTTGGGAATTGGGATTGAGTTGGGGATTGGTCCTGCTTTGAGCTGGGGGTTGGACTAGATACCTCCTGAGGTCCCTTCCAACGCTGATATTCTAGGATTCTATGACTTACAAAGCAGCTGGGGGGGTTTCTTCTTCTAAATTTTACTAATCCAAGATAGAAAAGACTCTGTAGACCATTTAACCCATCCCCTGCCTTATGGAGGATTGTTCCCTACAGTATATATGGGAGCATTTTACACAGCCTAGGGAAAAAAAAAAAAAACTAGTGATGGAGCTTCCACCAGGTCCTTTGGGAGAGAAGTCCACAGTCAGGGAATTTCCCACTGGATCATTTGAGCGCAGGGCAATCCCTCCTGCAGAAACACCCACACAGTGAGGAGAGGCGAGACTGCACAATGGTGGGTACATCCAGACGGCGGGTAGCGATCGATCTATCGGGGATCGATTTATCGCGTCTCGTCTAGACGCGATATATCGATCCCCGAACGCGCTCCCGTCGACTCCGGAACTCCGCCAGGGCGAGCGGCGGTAGCGGAGTCGACGGGGGAGCCGCGGCCATCGATCCCGCACCGTGAGGATGGGAGGTAAGTCGAAATAAATACGTCGACTTCAGCTACGCTGTTCCCGTAGCTGAAGTTGCGTATCTTACATCGACCCCCACCACCCCTAGTGTAGACCAGCCCGGTACAGCAGCCTCAGACTGTACCAACTTTTTTTTGGGAATTCCTCACAGGGTCTGAGAAGGGGGGGGGGGGGATGTGTGACATGAGTGTCCATGTCCAACCAGCCACAAAGAACTCCTTGGCTGGGCAAAATCCACATGGCGGGTCCCTCTTCCCATTGCTAAGACTGAGGCAACGATCTAGCAGCTCATAGTTCTGATACACGCAGTATATTCTTTTAAAATTCGACTCAGCTATTTCGTTGCTCAGAGGCGGTCTGCTCCCTAGTGGTGGAACACTCGTCTGTGAAGTTCCATCTGGGCATTTTCTTCCCTCATCCGTCTCTGTATTTTTTTTTAGTTCAGTACCTACACAGAGCTAAGAGTAGCTAGGAGCAATGTCTCGGGTGTGGCAGCAGTGGGAGAACCAGAAAAAGAAGCTCAACAATTTTCCCACCCACACCCTTTGATACAGCTTTGATGTAGGTGCTGATTTTTAGTGGTGCTTTACAGAGAAGCACTTGATTCTTATCTATTTTCATGCCACCTGATAATGAATCACATTGATAGCCCCAATTTCATCCTGCAGGATCTGAATACTTGCCAACTTCACATGCATTCACCAGCCAGGTGGTGCCCAGGACACTGCACAACAGTGGGGATGGGAAGTGGAAATTTTGGTCAAGGACAAATCTGTACTCCTAGAAAAAGTGCCAGGGGATCATTTGCCAGACAGAGCCTCTGGGCCAGATTCACCATTACTGAAATCAGTGGAGTCACCACAGCATATGCAGTGATGAATCAGGACCTCTGTTTTCAAGGTCCCAGCTGAAGGAGACACACAGCCAGTAAATCTACCTAGATGTTAATGCTGTGCCCATCACTGTGGTATCTGAGTACATAAAATTCCTGGCAATCAAAAAGAATTAGGAAGGGTTGAGTCAACCTTGCTGGTGTTTTAATTTGTGTTTTCAGAGAGTCTCGGTATCATCCCACTAAGGGACTCCTCCTTTGACCTAACTTCAGAATAATCATGTGGCAGATGCTCAGCTAGTGTCGTTTGCCAGAACTCGGTTGAATCAAGGGGGCTACGACAAGGATCTGAGGATCTGCCCCCATACCTTCTGGGTTCTCAGGCGTGATATAGTGTGCTTCTAGAGGGCAAAGGGGCACAGGAAAGAGGCCCAGATCCTTGTCATAGGCTGCAGTACTCTGATGTTAGCAGCTTCTCTGGAGGAGATTTTGCCTAGGTTTTGCCAGAAGTTATTGGCATATGACATGGCCCCAAGTGCTGGATGCTGCCATACGGGTGGCTGTGAAAACAAACGATAATCCGACCAAGAGAATAATTATTTTGTGTAACCTGACATGAGAACATAAGAGCGGCCATACTGGGTCAGACCAGTGATCCATCTAGCCCAGTGTCCTGTCTTCCGACAGTGTCCAGTGCCAGGTGCCCCAGAGGGAATGAACAGAACAGGTAATCATCAAGTGATCCATCCCCTGTCGCCCATTCCTAGCTTCTGATCAACTCCGTAATTGGTTGGTCTTTATTCCCAATGATCATACCATAGACAATGTGCAGCAGAGAGGGAAGCTTTGCGAGAGGTTGCTATTCTAACCTTTTACTTACCTATCTGCTCCTATAGGGGTCAGGCCATTTGGGAGCGCCTGACGAAAAGCTCTCCTCTAATTCCATAGAAAAGCAAAATTACCAAATTAGGTAGAAATGTGGTGCTGGAAGTGATGAGCGACGGACTAGCTGGCAGAGGCCGGCCTGAACAGGCAGGGTGGCATTGGAGTCTCTAAATCAACAAGGGTTGGATGTCTTTCTAGAAGATATGCTCTCATTCAACCACACGTTACCAGGCTTGATACAGGAATTACTGGGTGGAGAGTCTCTGACCTGTATTATGCAGGAGGTCAAATTAAATAACCATAATGGTCCCATTTGACCTTTAAATCTATGAGTCCTGAGCTCTACAGCAAGTTTTGTGTCAAGGGGCCTTGATAACTAGCGCTGGTCAGGAAGCAGATTTCCTGCCCCGTGGAAAATGTCACTATTTCAAAAAATTTTACGACCCCCCCCCCCCCCAAATGGAGATGAAAAGGCAGATTCTTGACATTTTTGGCAAACTGAAAATATGCAAAAATTAAAATTCATTTTGTTGGCGTAGCCGTGGTTGTCCCCGGATATTAGCGAGACGAGGTGGGTGAGGTAATAGCTTTTATTGGACCAACTTCTGTTGGGGAGAGAGACACGCTTTCAACCTTACACAGTATCTCCTTCAGGTACTAGCCCAGGGGTCGGCAACGTTTCAGAAATGTTGTGCCGAGTCTTCATTTATTCACTCTAATTTAAGGTTTCATGTGCCAGTAATACATTTTAACGTTTTTAGAAGGTCTCTTTATATAAGTCTGTAATATATAACTAAACTATTGTATGTAAAGTAAATAAGGTTTTTAAAATGTTTAAGAAGCTTCATTTAAAATTAAATTAAAATGCAGAGCCCCCCCGGACCAGTGGCCAGGACCCGGGCAGTGTGAGTGCACTGAAAATCAGCTTGCGTGTCGCAGGTTGCCTACCCCTGTACTAGACAAATGACAATCCTACCAAGAGAATAATTCTTTTGTGTAACCTGACTGACCTGCAGAAGAGCTCTGTGTAAGCTCGAAATCGTGTCTCTCTCGCCAACAGAAGTTGGTGCAATAAAAGCCATTACCTCACCCATCCTGTCTCGCTAATATCCTGGGACCGACAGGGCTACACGAACACTGCAAACAATGTTTGAATCATGGCTGTTTCAGAATTCAGTAAACAGATCTGCCACTCTGAGCTGGGAGCCATGCCCTTCTTGTTTCTCTGGGAGATTCCTGATGCCCAGCCCTCACATACTATACTGAGGGGCCATAAATAGAAGATAACTTGAAAGTCAATATTCATTTTCAAATAGGGAAAGTGTCAATATTTTTTTCCAAGTTCATTTCATTTCCCCCCTTCTCTATCTTGGTGCTGGTGGAGTCATTCCAACCTGGCAAATGCTTTTTAATGCTTCTCTCCACACTTCAGAGAAGTGTTTTATTCAATAAAGGTCTTCCTTCCAATTACTATACTCGTGCTAGATAGCCAATGATCTTCACCTGTCGTATAGTAAATCCCTTCTCTCGGCTGCCCCTGTATTTGTTCTGCATTTGCTGAAGTCAGTTCCTGACGGAAACAAATAATGCCTTAGGCTCTGATGGCCCTGTAGTAGCAGCGTGATTGTGCTGAGATAGACTCTCCCTTAGCCTCCAGGGCTGTTAGTATATCTGGAGAGCAAGGATTGTTTGTGACTCTGTGAATAAAGAGTGGGAGTCAAATTGTTATTTCTGCTTGTGGTGGAGAAAGGGGAAATTACTTCAGAGTCTCAGTTCTTGAAGGACTTTAGCTGACAAGGGAACATCACTGATAACATATAGGACTCGCATAGTATCTGAGAAGGATACTGTGACCCCTGCTGTGTGACAGCGATATTAACTTTCAGCAGCCCTGACCAATGTCATATGACAGGAGCCAGGAAATAAAGTTCACCCTCTTCCCAGCACTCCTGCATGTCACCCATTTATAGCCAGGTGGGAGGATGTCCTAAAGCGCAGGTCACTGTATGAAAAGGACCCACAAACTACAGCTCCCGGTCCCAGCTGCTGAGCCCAAGTTTTCCTAGAGTGTGTTGACACAAAACATATAGTGTTGTGGTAGCTGTGTTGGTCCCAGGATATTAGAGAGACAAGATACAAACATGGCTGTTCAGTGCATAGGTGTGGAAAGGCCGACACAAATGACACACATGAGTGAAGGAACACAAGCCAGAACAGATTACAGAATAGTTAGATGTATTCAAGTCATCAGGGCTTGATGAAGTTCACCTTTGGGTGTTTTCTCGGAGCCATTAGTGATTATCGTGGAGGAAGGGTGAGGTCCCAGAGGACTAGAGAAGAACAAGCATAGTACTGATCTTGAAAAAGGCGTACAAAGAGAACCTGGGGAATTAGGCCGGTGAGTCTAACTTTGAGACCTGGAAAGATATTGGAACAAATGATTAAACAATCAATTTGTAAGCACCCTGAGGATAGCAGGATTATAAGGAATAGCCACCATGGATTTGTCAGGAACAAGTCAGGCTCATTTCCTTCTTTGGCAGTGTTTCTGGCCTAGTGGATTGTGGGGAAGCAGTAGGTGTGCTATAGCTTGATTTTAATAAGGCTTGTGACGCAGCGCCACATGAATTCTCATAAGCCAACTAGGAAAATGTGGTCTAAATGAAATTTCTAGATGGTGGGTGCACAACTGGTTGAAAGATTATCCTCAAAGAGTAGTTATCAATGATTCACTGTCAAACTGGGAAGACGTATCTAGTGGGGTCCGTCCAGGGCCGGTGCTTCCATTTAGGTGACCTAGGCGGTTGCCTAAGGTGCCAGGATTTGGGGGGGCGGCATTTTGCCACCCTCGGCGGCAATTCGGCAGCGGGGGGTCCTTCTGCACTCCGGGTCTTCGGCGGCAATTCTGCGGCGGGTCCTTCACTCGCTCCGGGACCCGCCGCCGAAGTGCCCCGAAGACCGGGAGCGCGGAAGGACCCCCCCACCGCAGAATTGCCGACAACGACCGGGAGCGCGGAAGGACCCCCACCTAGGGCGCCAAAAACCCTGGCGCCGCTCCTGGGTCCGTCTTGGGTCTGGTACTAGTCAACATTTCCATTAATGACTTGGCTAATGGAGTGAAAAATATGCTTATAAAAGTCATGGGTGGCACCGAGCTGGGAGGGTTGTAAGCACTTTTGGAGGACAGGATTAGAATTCAAAATGGCTATGACAAATTGGGCGATTGGTCTGAAATCAACAAGATGAACTGCAATAAAGGCAAGTGCAAAGTACTACACTTAGGAAGGAAAAAGCAAATGTACAACTATGAAATGGGGAATAACTGGCTAGGCAGTGGTACTGCAGAAGAGGATCTAGGGGATATAGTGGGTAACAAATTGAATATGAGCAAAAAAATGTGATGCAGTGGGGTGTATTAGCAGGAGTGTCATATGTACGACCTGGGAGTTAATTGTCCCGCTCTACTCAGCACTGGTGAGGTATTAGCTGGAGTCCGGTGTCCAGTTTTGGATGCCACATTTTAAGAAAGATGTGGACAAGTGGGAGAGAGTCCAGAGGACAGCAACGAAAATGATAAAAGGTTTAGAAAACCTGAACTATGGGGAAAGGCTAAAAAAATTGGGCATCCTTAGTCTTGAGAAAAGGAGACAGCGGGTGGAGCTGATAACAGTCTTCAGATATGCTAAGGGCTGTTCTAAAGAGGACAGGGATCAATTGCTCTCCATGTCCACTGAAGGAAGGAGAAGGAGCAGCAAGGGTAATTTCGGTTAGATATTAGGAAAATCTTTCTAACTATAAGGCTAGTTAAGCACTGGACTAGGTTACCAGAGGAGGTTATGGAACCCCATCCCTGGAGATATTTAAGAACAGTTCGACGAACAGCTCTCAGGGAGGGTCTAGGTTTACTTGGTCCTGCCTCAGTGCAGGCAGCAGGACTAGTGACCTATCGAGGTCCCTTCCAGCCCGACATTTCCAGGATTCTAGAGCCATGCTGGGAAAAAGCTGCTGTGTCCAGCCACGCTAGCTGGAAACTTGCCAGCTAAGCGTGCCAGGGGTTTCTAGCTGTAGTACAGATGGAGCTTAAAGCCTAGTGTCCCAATGCCACTGATGCCTACCCATGGCATCCAGCCACAAACTCATGCCACGTAATTGCCCCCTTCTTGAGGGTTTCGTACATTAAACAATTAGCATTCGTGCCTCTGTTAAGCTTTTCCTTTGCTACTTGGTTTGGTTGTTGGTTTGAACCTTTGATCTGGGGTCAGTTCCCTGCTCCAACACAGACTTCCTGCATGACCTTGGGCAAGTCACTTAGGCCCAGGTCTTCCGGCTCCTAACTTCCATTCATGTAGGAGAAACCTAAATACTTTGTGAAGCTGCTTCTTAGTCATGACAATAATAGGATTTACCCGGCTCCCAGGGGTGTTAGGAGGATAAACATGCTAAAGATTTTGGGGTGCTCACATACTACAGTATTGGGGGGCCACATAAGTACCTTAGGTAGAGAGATTCTGTTACTTTGATCATATTCGGTAACACCTTGACTTCAGGGGGACTGTTCATGAACTAGAGTGCATAAGGGTGCTAGAATCTGGCCTTAAATCATTTTTGTCAAGGCTGTCTAAGGACTCAGTGATAGACCTGCGATTAGAATCCTGGGTCCCGGCCCTGTGCTCCGACCACTACATCCCCATCCCTAAAGAAACACATTTGATAGAGTCCCATAGAATATTCTCACTAACGTTTCACATTTGTTTTCTGTGTGCGTTGTCCTCACAGGTTCTCTGGTTACTGTTTCTTGCTCTTCTCATCGGGTCGTATGCCAGGTGATCAGTGACGGCAACCTGACCACCTCTGTCCATAAGAACCTCACTTTGCACAGCAGCTGGGCAACACAAGTAGAAAGCAAATATGGATTTTACATTGGCTTGGCCCTTGCCATCTTCTCCAGTTTCCTCATCGGCAGCAGTGTCATCCTCAAGAAGAAAGGGCTGCTGCGGCTGGTGGACAAAGGGAGCACCAGAGCAGGTATGGAGATTCTGGAGGATGGTGGGGAAGATGGGGTTTCTGCTCCCAGAATCAGATGCATTGTCTACACTCCCATCAGTAATGAGGCCGGGGGAAATGCCTCGTGAGATTTGCTGTTGGTGCGTGTGTTTGCATCTGAAGAGCATGATAACTGGGAGTGGGGAACTTTTTATCCATCAGGGACTCTTCTCTGTGTAAATAAAACTGGATGTGGGACTCAAATGGTTCACAGCTCTGGTGCTGGCCCTTTGCCCAGGGGAGAATTTCACCCATGAAGAATGGATCAATTTACTCAGATGGGATTGCACAATTCTGTTCTCCATGAATCAAATCCTGCTTGTATTGAAGTCAATGGGGAAGTTTGCCATTGGATTCACTGGGACAGGACAAGGCCCTGTGTGTTTTTCCTGCACTGGAGAATGACATCTTATTAATGCAAAATGTCAAATTCATTTGCAGAGCCCAGAATGTGTGTATAAACTTTCCCTCTTCCACCAAGTAAATCTTAACTCAATGTTAAACTACATATAAATAAGTCCCCATCTGTGTTATTTATTTATTATTAATAATAATACAGTAACTAAAACATGCTGAGAACTCTACAGAACAATATGGTCTCTGTGCTGGCTGGAGAGGTTACAATCTAATCTCAGACATGATGCAGCAAGTGAGGGCCGCTGTCATTATCTTTGCCGTCTCAGAGAGGTTATCTTTTTGATGCACCTGCACCCAGCACCTCAGAACCAAAGCAGTTCTAATGCCCTAAGAATGGTCCGGGTGGCTTTACTTCACAGGTAGAAAAGCACCTTGGATGGTGCCCATCCAAATTAGAGGTAATGATTATAAGATCCTCAGTGTTCTTCAGTTGGTGTCTCAGGTATCCTACCGCTGGCACCATGAGGTTACACTGACTATGACTTCTCAGATGACACAGAACAGGGCAGGGCTTATTACTGAGTGGGCTGGCCCCTAATGGTATTGCTGACCTTGATCCCCACTGTTTTGCAAGGTGAGCGTAAGTGATACTGCAAGGCTTTACTTCCATCCCTTCACACGTGTGCATTGTCCTTAATGAGCAGAGTGCAAACCATGCCTTCTTGCTGACAGAGTGTGTCTGTCCTGATAAGATGGCCTAGGGGGCACGACCAGAGCTGGAGCAAGAGGGATCTCTGTGAGAGCATGCAAATGTGTCGTGCCTGTTGGGGCAAGTGGGGGGTGCTGAATGCAGGCTCTGGCTGAGGCACGCCTGTGTGGGATTGTATTGCACAAGGGGGAAGGTATGTGCCAGGATGCGATTATGCAGTCGGTGCTTGAGCAAGGGGAAGTGTGTGTATATTGCATCACGTTAGCGCAGCAGGTGGAGGTGAGTCTGAGTGGGATTTGTGGAAGCTCAGCTTGTGGTTGTTGGAGCACGTGTGTGCAGTGGGGTTGCACTGGTGTGTGCGTGTCTGTTGGCTGACCAGCCGTGTGTACAGATTCTAGGTAAATGTGGGTGTGTTTGTGTGTCTCAATAGGTGGAATTTGGAGGCGGGGTGGAGTCTTATCCCCCAGTTCTGCCCACTGTTGAGTTGCACAGTGGAGTTTAGCCCACTGCTCTGGTGTCACAGACATAAGTTTTAATAGGCGTTTCGAACCGCACCTCCAGCCAACCTCATTGTGTACAAACCACAGCACCTAGCTCCTAGATAACATTTTTCATCAGTTGATCTCCAAGAGCTTTACAAAGGAGGTCAGTATCATTGTCCCTGTTTTACAGATGGGAAAACTGAGGCACAGAGCAGTGAGGTGACTTGACTAAGGTCGCCCAGCAGGCCAGGGGCAAAGCTGGGACTATAACCCAGAGCTCCTGAATGCCAGTCTGGGCCTTGAACCACTAAAGCGATACAGATCCACCCCCATGGTGACTGCCCCTTGCTGAGGACCGGCCATATGCAACAGCCGATGTTGTACAGTTCAGCTTTTTTGAGTTATCTGCCCAGAGAAATCTTAGAAATTTAACATTAACAAAAGTATTTCCCCGGCTTCCCCCTCCCAAAGCTGAGCTAACTCCGTAGTGGTCACGGGGATTTTCCAGAGTGATCCACCGTGGGGCGGAGTTCAACCATGGAAAATTTCAGCCACAAAGAAGAATTTCTGAGAAAGTTTTGCGCCAGAGACAGCCGGGATTTCTAAGGGAGCCAGTGTGTAATCGTCTCCCTGTAGCTTTCATTGAGGAGTTTGAAATGTTTCAATAATAGCAATAGTTTCCCAAGTGTTCTTTATCCGTTGCTGGCTCAGACTTTCCTTTTAGCCATCTCATCTTTCCATCTAGGCATTTATTACAGGCTCATTAGCATGGTATTTGAGCACGGCCCTCTGCTGCTGCATACTTCGACAGTCCCCGTAATTTGGGCTGTTACGTGGTAGTACCTGCTCAGCCAGTGTCATTGAAAACTGGCCCTAGCCTGCTCCCACTAAATCAATGGGAGTTTTTGCTTTGATTTTAATGGGGACAGGATCAGGCTCTTGATGTGGAAGAACTTCAGATTTCCACTTCCCAGAGCTTTCAGTGCTTAGCACCGGCCGGCGGGGGATAACATTGCCTTTTCAGTGTTGACCAATGGGATTAAATAGCTGTCTTCTGTTGTATTTATGCAGGCTGTAAATACCACCTTCCACTAATAGCCTTCTCAATCTCTGGTTGCCCTGTCGGATTTTACTGATTTGTTTATTGTCTCCTCTCCTTCTAGGTTGTTTCAATAGTCATTTGAAACAGCCCCTCCATAGCTCGGTATCTGCTAGTTCTTGTGGCTGTGGGTTATTTTTCTTGTAGTCCCTAAATATCTGTGCTTTGCTTTCCCAGGAGACGGAGGTCATGGCTACCTTAAGGACTGGCTGTGGTGGGCTGGACTGTTAACCAGTAAGTGGGGTTATTCACGTTCCCGTGCATTTCTAGCCCTCACAAGGTTTAGAAAATGGAGGCATAACCAAGCTATTATTTTAGCCAGTTTCTCCAGTGGCTCGGAAGTTGGTTCAGTGGAGGGACGGATTCTCCACCCCTTGCAGATAGCTAAATAGAGCAGAACCAGCATGCCGTGCCCGTCACATCGCAGCCCGTCTGGATTGCTTGCAGAACTAGTTCGCTCGGTTTTCCTGGCCAAGAGTATGAAAAGCCCCGGTTATACCAGGAAGGCTGGCTGGTCTGTCAGCGTACCAGGCACTGGACAAAGCCTGACCAAGGTCATAAAAGTGCACGTCTACAGCAGTAGGTAGATATTCAGGAGGGGGAAGTAGCACCTCCATCCCCCTGCTTGGTAACAGAATCCAGGATGCACAACTTCCTACAGATTCCCCTTGTGTGAAGCTCCCTCCTCGGTAATAGTTCTCACGGGGGTTATTTTTACCCAAGATGCCCTGGCTCAGTTTACATGTGGCGTGGAAACCCCCAGCAAGATTCGGGCTCCTTCCTTATCGCTCTGAAAATGCACAATGACCTTAACGAAGTACGTGTTGTAACTCACTTGTTGGCTGTTTGTTTTTCTCTTGTTTGCTCAGTGGGTGGAGGGGAAGCTGCCAACTTTGCTGCCTATGCGTTTGCACCTGCAACTATCGTCACCCCCCTTGGCGCCCTGAGCGTGCTCATAAGGTGATTTCTAGGTCTCTCTCTTTTTATATTCAACCCCCTTTTTTTCCCAGATGGCACAAACGTGATTTGCGCTGCAAGAAGAAAAACATCTTGGCGATTGCTACAAAATAGACAAATAGATGGATGCTCTTCTCAGCGTGGGATGTTGCGCAAAGCACATTAACTGTTGGAGTAAATAACATATACCATATGGGAACAATGTATGTTGGTGTGACCAATAGTCCAGTGTCTATTTGGAAGCTTTTATAAAAACCTCGGTCTCTTCCTCCTTGTTCTGTTTGCCCAGCTGCGGTGCTGGTACCAGTGGATAGTATTTGGCAGTGGATAGTATTGCCAATCCCAAATGCCAAAAATCATGAGAACTTTTCACAAAATCATCCATTTTGGGTTCTCTTGATTTGCAGTCTGGCTTTTGAACTTTTAGGGTGCATTGGGATCACATTTTTGCACTTTTCTGTCCTGCCAGAGGGCTAGAAACTTACTTTTCTTTTAATGAAAACTGGGAGTCTCCGATTTTCACATGACTCCAGGAGCTAGGGCTATTTTTTCAAAAAGACACCAATTCCTGCAAGACTCACAATAAAAATGGGAGATTTAGTACCACTACAGTGGGGGAACTGCCTCCAGAGTGGGCCATTTTGATGAGCAAACACGTAGGTGGAACGTGACTAGACTTTTTGCTGTTGGGTTCCCCTGTCCCTTCAAAGAGTTTCTAAAGTTTAATAACTCAATAATTAATGGAATGTTAGTTTCTTTGGTCCTCAAACCCCTTTCTCTGGGTGCTAGGAACGTCATGTTACCCAACTGAGCATGAATGGAACTGGCCACACTATTAGTTTCTCTGGAGACACATTGATCTCTCCCCACCTATAAGCATTTTCTTTTCAAGACCTTAATTTTATTTCTACATGAGTTGTGAATTTTAGGAGTCACACAGTCCGGACTCTGTTGTTAGTAACTCTGGTGTGAATCTGGAATAACCCCACTTAACTCAGTGGAGTGACTCTAGATTTACATCCAGACAACAGAGAGAAGAATTGCTTCCTGGCCCTTAATAAAAGTGAAGACATGAATGTATTTTACATGTAACCTTTTAATCTGCCTTTTGTTTAACCCTTGCCGTTCTCCCTTAGACTATTTGGGGGTAGTAACGTATTTTATTTGTCTGACCCACACAGTGCCATCCTATCTTCCTATCTGCTCGGAGAGCGGCTAAACCTGCTGGGAAAGCTAGGCTGCATGCTGAGCATTGTGGGTAGCACGGTGATAGTGATACACGCCCCAGAAGAAGAAGAGGTCACCACGCTGGCCGAAATGGCTTCAAAACTGAAAGAGCCCGGTAAGCACCAGGCAGTTCAGCCAGCTCAAAGATGCGGCCATTTAGAGGAAAATATACGAGCATCAGATAGAAGGAGTTTTGCTTTAGTTAGGGACCACGCCTCCAGGGTCTAGCGGAAGGATTTAATAGACTCCATGGTGCACCCCTATAACCTGTTCCCTGCAGTACCCCTGTTGTGCATTCTAGTGTTTTAGACAGTGGCTCTAGAATCCTGGAGAGTGCGTGTTTGTTTTTGTAATCAGCACTTGGGATCCAGTTGTGCAGGTTTTAGAGAATCATAGGGTTTGCAGTTATTTGTATGACTGGAGCATCTAGGAGCCTGATTCTATTGCTGCCCTTCTCTGAGGGGCATCCATATCTGGGCTGAATTTGTACTAGGAGCTTTTTCCCACCCCAAACCATTTGCAGTCTCAGCTTCCAAGGTGCTCAGGTTGTGACTACCTGGAGTGGAGCAGGTCAGCATTAAGGTGGCCAAGCTGCAATGCGGAGGCGGCACAGCCGTTTCCCACAGTCAGCCAAATCCCGTCCTCCTTTATGCCCATGGACCCATGTGCTGATGTGGCCCTACGCGTTGCCATCTGATTCGAACTTTCCATGGGCAGCGAGCTCATTCATAAACTGGTAAAATGAACCCCCGACCGGTATTTGTCTAAGGCCTTAGACTGGGATCGCATAACAAGTGACTGGGGATTCTTTGGTCCCAGATCTATAGCTGGTGGAAATCCACATAGCTTCATGCAGTTTAGTGGAGCTACAATGTTTTCCACCAGTTTGAAGATCTGGCCTTTTGGGTTTTTTTCAAACTGTATTCCTGCGTATGTCCGGTGTGTTACTGCCTTACTCTGGGTTACGTTGCTTATGACCAGCGGTGGGCTGGTGTTTGATCTCTCTGGCGTATCCCGAGTAACGCATGCTGGCGTTATAGCCTGACTGTGCATGCCAGTGGATTTCATGTTGTCACTTCTTGCCTCTCAAAGGTTTCCTCGCTTACGCTGCCATCCTCTTAGTCACCTGCCTGATTCTGATCTTCTTCCTCGCACCCCGCTACGGGCAGCGCAACATTCTCATCTACCTCACCATCTGCTCCGTGATTGGTGCCTTCTCAGTGTCTTCCGTCAAAGGACTGGGGATTGCCATCAAGGGCTTCTTTGATGACCAGCCTGTCCTGCAGAACCCGCTGACCTGGATCCTCATCCTCACGTTGGTGGCTTCCGTCACCACTCAGATCAACTACCTCAACAAAGCTCTAGACATTTTCAACACCTCCTTGGTATTTCCCATCTACTACGTGTTATTCACCACCATAGTCATCACCACTTCTATCATCCTCTTTAAGGAGTGGGTCGCCATGTCGGTGGTGGACATTATTGGGACGGTTTGTGGCTTCCTCACCATTATTTTGGGGGTGTTTTTACTCCATGCCTTCAAAGACATGGATATAAATTTGGGGAACCTACCGCATGTTCTTCAGAACAGCGACCAGGCACCAACAATCAAGGACGACAAGAACATTCTGATAGAAGTGGACAATGCTGGCATGATTGCCGATGATAAACCCAAAGTATTCATGATCTACAGCTAAAGCAGTGATATAAATGTTCAAGGGCAGAGGATGCTGCTCTGAACAGGCTAAAATGTTACTGAGAAATTTTAAAGCAAAAGCACAGAAAGTAAAACTAATCATGGGGCTGACCTAATGCTACTAGAGTCAAATGAAATCTTCCAGTGGGCTCTGGAGAAGGCCTGATGTCATAACACAAGGAAGGGGTATATTTTGTGTTCATCCACAAGACATCAACCTGAATAGCTGCTGAAAGCGGCAACTCCCTTGAAATATGACAAGCTTGGAGCAAAATTCTACTCTGGGATCCTTGCTGATGGCTGGTCTCTCAACATTGTCAGTTTCTAGTGCACGATCTGCACACTTTTTCCTAAGCAGAACTCTGGCTGATGTGCTTACTTCAAACTGACCTCCACTGACTGACTGATTAGTGGGTTTTGATTTCTTTACAGCCCCTATCCCAAGAGCTTTAGGTACTTCTACAAAACTTAAAATACATGGCAACAGCAAACAGAAAGGGCAGAGACCCCCCAGTGAATATTCTGCCCTTGCAAACCCCCTGGGCAGCTTACCCAGGCGGATAGCAACAGCAAGTCCTGACAACCCCTTAACTCTTCCAATCCCCGAAAGCCTGGGGGAAAAGATGGGTTTTCAGCATGCCATTGGCTTGTCAGAGCAAGTTCCATAGTAAAAGGCCCACTCCTGGAAAACACCCTCCTCTGACCCACCAACCCCCTCTTTTTGAAGCCAGGACACACCTTCATCCTGGGCAAGAAAATATTTAGACAGGCAAGTAAGGGATCATTTGTTTTTGTTGCCATCCTACCAAAGGGCAGCCAAACAGATTTTGTACCTAATAAATTATCAGGGTAATTATGCAACATGACTTTATGGCCTCTGATGATTTTAACCACAGCAGTGTAGCACGGGGCGTTCCACGCAAGGATCTAGTGCAACATTTGAGAGGGGCTTGAACCAAAACATCCTTAAAGAGGAAGTTCAGGTCAGAGCTGAACATAGTTTCTGTCGCTTTAGTGAGAGAAACCAAAACCTCAGGTCCCAACACCCTGAATGCTGAGAAAGTTTGAAGCTGAGTTTTGCAGCTCTCTCAGCCCTCCCGATGCACAATAGACCCTAGCAGGGCAGGGAAGTAAGCAGTGTTTGTCCTAAGGTGGTGAAAACTGCCACTGCCTGGCTGCAGGGGAACCTAATCTATCTGAGTGCACGAATGGAGAAGGGTGGACTCACTGCTGGAACCCCCGCCCCCAAATTGCTGGATGATGTAGTATCATAGAATATCAGGGTTGGAAGGGACCTTGGGAGGTCATCTAGTCCAACCCCCTGCTCAAAGCAAGGCCAATCCCCAGATAGATTTTTGCCCCAGATCCCTAAATGGCCCCCTCAAGGAGTGAGCTCACAACCCTAGGTTTAGCAGGCCAATGCTCAAACCACTGAGCTATCCCTCCCCCCGTATAACAGGCTCTCACCTAGCACCCCCAGCTAAAGGACCCCAGAGAAAGCACCCAAACTCCATCCACACACCGTTTGCTGCCTCCCCAGACCCCTGCCTGCCTCGGCCGATTTCTGGCTTTTTCCACAGCCCCTTCCTGAGCTCACTCTTCGCTCCTCTCCCTTGCTCTGCAGAGTGCTTGCCCATTCTCCATCAGAGCACTACCTCCCCTGGTCTTCTCCCTAGAAGCCCATTCCTACCAAGCCACTCACGCTCAGGGCTTTTTCCCTGGACTCCCTTCCCCTATGCTAGGGCCTCAGCTCCAGTCTACCCCCAAGGCCAGCCACCTATGGTTGACATCCTCTGAGGCCCACCTACAACCCTCTCCTATTACGGCCAGCCCCAGGCTGTAACCTCCCTCCAACTGAGCATGCGCTGCCTTTTGTGCAAACCCTCTTGCTCTCAGCTGGGCCCAGTCATGAATCAAAGCCACCTGGTCCCCGGCCAGTTAGGAGCAGCTGGAGGGGGTTCTGACTCCCTTATAGGATGAGCCAGCTGGTGACAATGAGCTAAGAGCCAGTGCTAGTGTGTCAGTCAGACGAGGCAGAGCTCAATCTTGCCAGTGGTGAAGAGCTGTAGAATGTACACCCCGGGCCCTAAATGATCAGCCTGAGAGAACGCAGGTCTGCTGCTCTTTGAGCTAATGATTTCACATGGGACAGCCCCAGACTTCAGCGTGGTAGTTCAGAGAGGTTCAGACCTGGCGGTTGGGGGTTGATTCAGTCTTTTACAGAGAGGAGCTCTTAACCAAATGCCAAGGTTTCAATCGGCTCAGCTTGGAAGTACCCACAGATTTCTAAGGGGTTGGCTGTGAAGTTTTGGTTCAGCCCCATCTCTGCGTTGACCTGTTGTTCTGCTAGGACATTGCTTTGTGCTGGGTAACGCTGTGGGCTGTGACAGCACCAGGACTGCGTTTGAAATTATCTGCGTTCACTAGAAAGGTGAACGATGCCACTTAAGGCTATAGGGCCAGATTCTGGTGAGTAATAACTTTGCAATGGGACTTCCTCTGCAGGAAGGGACCATTCAGCTTGAGTAATAATGGCACAATCTGCCCCTTAGCATATATTTTTTTAAACAGGGCTCTGGCAAAGTGTGTGTGTGTATATGTATGTATAGTATATAATTAATCTTTGGTTTTGTGAGCTGTGGGGGGAGCAGTTTCCTGCAGCACTATGTTAATTAGCTTTCACGTGAGTGTTTTTCACATTCGCTCTAATTGATGCGGAGCGTCTGCTGTAAAGTTACTGGGCCTGATTCTGCCCTTGCGTGAGCCGGTGTAAATGGGGACCGAGCTCAGCGGAGTAACATCGGCCTTGGAGAGCGGCAAATCACTGACTGTCACTGGCTTCCTCCAGTCTTAGCACCTTGCCTTGGTCAGTGAAAGTGCTTCTTTAGCCTGGAAGACCAATTGGGTGCAAATGCAAAAGACTTTTTTGGCAAATGAGATTAGTAACCAAATCGGCAAATGGTTTCGAAGCTGAGGTTTGGGGAGCCCATTGTGGGCTGTTTGGGAGATTTGCAGAGCTAGTTTCCAAGTCTTTTCTTCCCCTCATTGAAACCCATATGCTTTTTGTCCCCAAGGGAAGTGTGGGCTGTGCCTTAGAAGCCAGGCTGGCATAAGTGGGTAACCGATCTGTGGCTGTAGAGATTGATTTTTTTATTAGCATTTTTCTTTCCTCACCTCGTCTTTGCACAGTCTCTCTGTCTGTGGTTTGCACTGTGTCCTGCTCCCCTTCCTCCTGGATTTTTACTCTTCTCCGCACAGCTCCCTCTTCCACAGTGTCTTTCAGCCACAACCCCCACAATCTGAGTCCTCCCCCACCTTTTGAACCCACAACGTGAGCTTTAGTTAATCCTGAATCGTGGTGCTCGGTTGCTGGTAGCAACCACTGTGGGCTGAGTAAGCAGAGCCTTCAGATGATTGTGATCTAGTTCCCCTACAGCGGAACATCACTCATGTCAGTCTCCTGAAACCACACGTGGATCCCTGAAAAACATCTCGGCTCTCTTTGGATCTGGGGTTTAAGAATACGGCTGGTCCCAGCGCACAGGTAGACCCTCTATTTACTGGCATCCGAGTGCTGAGATCAGCCGCTGGGGTAAATTGACTTTAAATGGAGCTAGGATCCCTCCGGTGTCTGGTTTTTTAAAGAGTTGGAGATGTGGGGAGATTTACTAGATACAGAGTCCAATGAAAACCCCCAGCATTATTTTATGAGCGGAAGGTTCAGCTAATGAGCTCAGCACGTCAGCGCTACGCTCAACACCCGTCACTTGTGGCCAGCTGAATAAGTGGGGTGGCAGTGTCCAGGGGCAGGAGATCGGAGCAACACGCTGAGCCGGAAGTCACCGCTGTGACCGGTGAAAGTCAATGTCCCCCCAACTCTACCGTGGAGCTGCCAGATCTCACATTATGTCCTTTGGGGCCCTCAGCACAAGGTGATACAAGACACCATCTGGCCCTGCCTGCAAGATCCTGGGCTCTTTATTCCTAATGAACGTGCTTTATACATACTGGGAAGAGGCAGAATTAATGTATCTGGGACTAGCTTTGATGTTTAACCGGAGGCAACCCCCCACGTTCAATGACATTTCAATAATGTTTGTACTTAGAGGGAGAATAAAGAGTTTTATACAAATGCTTGAGGGCTGAGCTGAAATCTTTCTGAGTGGTTCTTTGTTGCAAATTTATTGCTGTGCCGCATGTGGGTATACTGCCGGCATCTGCACCATAGCAAGAAATAGAACCCTGGCAAAGAGATTAGAACAGCAGCTCCCTCTCCTGGTAAAGAAAAACGGTCCTTGCTGCTCTGCTCTCCATGTAATTCCAGTTTCAGTTCCTAGCCAGGGCTTTGCTTTGTGGGTTGAATTTTGGAGCGACAAGGCGGGTGAGGGAGTATCTTTTGTTGGACTAACGTCTGTTGGAGAAAGAGAGAGAGAAGCTTTCGTGCTAGACAGAGCTCTTCTTCAGGTCTGCAACCGACTGGAGTCTTTGCAGTGCCTGAACTTACCTAAACGTTTAGAAAAGACCTTTTCCCTGGAATCGCATCACTTCTGAACAAGGCACGTCCCTCTTTAAGAGTGTATCAGTCACCAGGCTGAGCTAGCGCTGTCTGGCATTGATTCAGTTAGCAACACTCCCATGCAACAGGTCAATGACAATTGACAACAAATTTATTCAATAGAAACTAGGCAAAAGGCACAATGAATTGCATTATTCAAGTATTTGCATAGGTGCAGAGAGAGCATTATTGTAAACAATACATGGACCGAAGAGAAAGTGACACATAGTTTGTATATGTTCTCCCAAATAAAATTAAAAAAAAAATCACATTTTCGTTTCTCCCCCACCTTCATTCACTCAGCTCACACACGCGGAAATGTAACGTGATTTACTGAGCGTTCCCTTTTGGAGGCTTTACAATATCCCAGAACTTCAGGCTTCAGGGCATGTCCAGTTGTTTTCTGAGCTCTGTGTTCCCTGGCTCTATCCCCCACCCATTGAAGGCAATGGAAAGTATCCTAAGGATTTCAGTGGGCCCGGATCAGAACCAGAGGCTGTAGCTGAGGGTTCGCTGTCTGCAGGAGTGAATAAGGGTGTGTGTAGTTTTAATAAGATGTCGAGCTATGTTCAAAATGTGCATCTGGTGCTGATAGGGATTGAGGCCTAAATGCATGATGTGTCCTTTCCCCCCACCCTGTGTCCATCTAGTCTGTGAGCTCTTTGGGGCAGGGACTGTCTACCACTCCTTGCACAATGGGGGCTCATTCGGGGTTGGGGCCTTGGCACTGTCGTAATAAATATGATTCATAACAATAAACAAACAGAGTGGTGAAAAGCCAGCTAAGGTGGCCGTTACAATCACTGGAAGATAAAAAAACCCTCTGAGAAATAACTGGCTGCTGGTGCGATTCCCTTTTTATCACCCTTCTTTCAGGGTCTTTTGCAAGGAAACTATCCAATTAAAGAAGGGCCTATAAAAATACTTTGATTTTGTCAAACTGCAAATGGCTGCTTTGCATTGAAGCACTGATGCCAGTGGACAGTAATCAGGAGCAGGTGTGGAGAAAAACATTTCAAGGGTAGCGAGAGTCACTTACAGCCCCATTTGGGGGGCATTATTGGTTGGTTTTTAAGGAGTATGAAAATCTCGGCAGAGGGTCCAAACTAACCATTGCAATGAGTAGACAGCTGGATGGGAACAAAGTGCCCTTGTTTACTTATAGAACCTTGAGGAGGAAGAAATGCTAATGTTGCAAAAAATGGCTCGGTCCATCTTTAGATGCCAGCCAAACCTAATGTGAATGTTCAGAGGTATTTCTTCATGGTCAGGTAGCAATAATGGAATCACAACCCAGAACAGGTTTTTGCAAACCGTAGGATTTCTTACACTGTGCAGCTTGGACTATTCGACTTGAAGACTTCTAGTCATAATAAGTCGGATATGACAGCTTCTGTGTCTCTAGCTCCAGAATTGCTGATGCTCACACATGAAGTAATTTCAAGGAAAACGGAAAAATTGCTGGGGGAACAAAATGTCCCAAATCTAAAATCTTGAGATAAAATGTGTGGGAACCTAAATCAGTTAAAAAAACCCAACAAATTCACAATGTTAAGGCCCTAGGATTAGGACCTTCAGTTTAAAGTGCACATGGACAACTGCCTCCACGAGGTCCATTTAGAGGAGAGTTTGGATTCAATCAGCTGTCCAACAAAAGCACCATGTGTCATAGAAATCTTCCATTGCTCTCCCAACTGGGAAGCTCTAAAGTTACGTTTCTTGTTAGTCTGGTGACCAGGTACCCAGTGTTGCTCTGTATTGCTCAACACAGAATGGAGGCTGATGGGCTATATACAGAAAGTGTACGGGTCTGGTTAACTGTGGTACCGCATTATGGCAGGAAGGTGCCACCAGCCAGACTTCATTTTAACTCCATTTGACTGTTCACCCTGTATTTTCTTTAGAGAGTTTTTCTGTAGTACCTAGTCTAAGTCCAAACGACACTGATAAGGGCACATAAACCAAGCTGGAAATGCCACTAGATCTTACACTTACATCAACAAGACAAGACAGAGGAATCAAGCGGTTAATGCAATACAACCGACTGGCCGTGATGGAAAGGGTCTTGCTAGGGATGGTCTGGTTGGGAGGAGGTTTCCAGCCCAGGTTACTTCAGCATGGCATATTTTCCACTGTTTCCTTCCCCGCTGCTGGCCAGTCAGTCAATGCCCAGGGAAACAGAACGGACTGAAGCCTTTGATAGCTCTGTAGCTGTGCCTGCTCTGGACAGACCAAGGGAAGCAGAGTGGTGTGATCCTTAGAGCACCGCCTGTCAAGTCCAGCAGCTGACAAATTCAGATCACTGAGCACCGGAGCACTAACGTACTGATGAAATATAGCGTGTCGGTGTAGCCATCTCAGTCCCAGGATATTAGAGACACTAGGTGGGTGAGGTCATATTTTTTAAAATATGGAGCACTCTCTCTCCCCAGCCCCCCTCTTCTGCATTATACATTGCACAATAATATGTCACTGCCATTTTAATCAAGTAACTCCTGTATTGCAGGAAGCCAAAGGCACAGTGGGCCAAATTCAGTCTTGGCATATACTGATGCAATTCCCACTGGTGTCACTAGGTGTTGCATCTGCCTACACTAGGACTGTGATTTAGTTGGGAATTGGTCCTGCTTTGAGCAGGGGGTTGGACTAGATGACCTCCTGAGGTCCCTTCCAACCCTGATATTCTAGGATTCTATGATAGCGACATCCATTTGTGCAGGGCCGGATGTGGCCCAGTGAGCCAGGTGGGAACATGGGACCAGGGGAGAGGAGATCAAGCTCTGAACATGACCTGTGTATCTGCTTCCTGGTGACAAAGACATCCAGTTCCTGGTGAGATCCTGAGTCGATACGGAAAGAATCCCTGTTTGGCTGGATGACCCCAGCCCTGCGGCACAGAGGGCCTGGCCATCATTTTTTCAAGGGGTCCGCTCCTCCGGCTAGCTTCACTGTTGAATTCTGGTGTGGGGAGTTACAATGGGGGGGGAAAAAAGACACTGAAATAAGTATTTGTGAAAAAGAAAAAGCTTCCCACTTGTTCTCGCTCAGCTCACACCACAGAGGGGCAGGCCAGGCTGTCTGAGTCCAGCTGACTGATGGAAGAAACATATAGGAACCCTGGCAACGTCATGCCAATTCAGACCTGTATCCCGCCTCTGGCCGTGGCCCGTACCAGACTCTTCACAGGAAGGCGCAAGAATCCCCATAATGGACACTGCTAGAGTAACCCACCCATAGGGAAAGTTTCTTCCTGACCCCAGGCAGTTAGAGGCTGGGCTCAGACTTTATATTAAGCGTGAGTCAATGATTAATAGACGCTATAAGCACATTGCATAGAAGAGTAATGTATTCTAAGCAAGAAACAAAGAATTTTGAATTCACATTCAGAAAAGACAACTATATGGCCAAGCCTATAGGGTCCCCAACCTCAGGGCATAAGAAATGTTTGCAGCCAACTGCACATGACCTAAACCTTTCCTTACAGTTTACATACATGAGTAATGTGTGTTACAGATGGTTATAAGTTAGTCACTGGACAGTGGTGTAGTTGGTTATAAGCCGTGGTCTCAAACAATCTATAAAAATTGATTAACCATTTGTTAAAACACCTATTAAGCATTTATCAACTCTTTATCAATGGAACCCTAATATAAAGAGTAACAAGATTGGAATTTTCCCTGAAGCAGGAAAGTTTATATCCCTTATCATTTATTTTTGTCCAATCTAATATAATGGTGGGTGTTTTCAGTAGTCAAATACATGTCTAATTCTTTAAGAATCCTGTGGCAATGAGTTCCACAGGCAATGTGTTGTGTTAAAGCATGTTTACTCTGATCAGGTCCAAATTGGTTGCCTTTCAATTTCATTGGCTGGCCCCCTTGTTCTGAATTTATGCCAAAGGGTAAATAGGAGTGCCTGAATTACTTTTTCTATAGCCTTCATTATTTTGTGCCCACCTATGTCATGTCCTCTCTTATTCTTCTCCTTTCAAAATATCTCCTCAGAAGCCGTTCTGACTTATCTTTTACGTCACCCGTCCCTGGACCCCAGAACGGAACACAGGATGAAGGCCTGCCATCAATTTATAATTATACACTGCCATCGTAATATTGTCAGTATTTTTTTTCTAGCCCATTCCTAACATATCCAATATGGCTGCCGCTGTACAATGAGCAGAAGTTTACTTTGAGCTATCCACAGTGACAAATCAAGTCTTTCCCTGGAGCTTCTTTAAAAACCAGCCTGGTGTCTGAGTAGCTAGAGTTCTTCCTTCCTGCGTGTATTGTCCTGTATTTAGCAACCATGAGTTTCATCTGCCATCATGCTAGCCAGTCACTTGGCTTTGAAATTCCTCAGCGCCTCACTAGTCTTGACCAACGTAAATAATCGTCTGTCATCAGCATGTTTTGCCACCTAGGTCGCTGCTCGTGCCCTTCTCGAGACCATTAATTAATGTAGAGATTTAATCTCTGGAAAAAGTTATGGGAGCTAGAGAATTAAAAAGCAACTCAACTGCTGTGGGCTATAACCCAGTCACAGGATTGCCTATATTCAGCAATTCCCACGGCTGATTTTTTGTTTCTATTAAAGACTATTTTGAAACAGCCACTGTCCTTGGTATCCCTGGAGAGTTGAATCCATTCGATCGTTTAACCCAACAAATACGTAGTGAGAAATGAACTAAAATCAGTGCCATCAACCCTACAACAACAAACAGGTGCGCGCAGCCCAGCACTCATAAGCAACCCAGCCACAATAAACCAGCGAAGGAAAATATTTTGGTGATAAAACCTTCTTGTTTCCTTTAACCACCCTGCACTAGTGGATTTTGTATTTTAATAGCAAGGTGATTTTATATCTCTGGAACAGCCATGCTTCGTGGTGGTGAGAGCATGCTGCTCTCCTCTGTGGTATTTTGTAAGCAAGCCCTACCTCCGCCGGTGGTGGGTGTCGTCCTGGGCGCCTTCCAGCAGCAGGTGGCGGTAGCGTTGTGGTGTTCATCTTTGGCACAGTCCTGGGTCCAGTAGGGACGGGGTTAGCCGGCAAAGCTTTCTGTGGGGGGCGGGGTCTAGCAGCGTCCTAAGCAAGAAACAAAGAGCTTTGAATTCACATTCAGGAAGGGCGCCTCTATGGCCAAGCCTATGAGGTCCCCAACCTCAGCGCATAAGAAAGGTTTGCAGCCAATTGCTCATGACTTAACCCTTTCCTTGCCCTTTCCATGGATGACTGCAGTTACTGAGAGCCTAGAATCCCATGTAATGCATCAGCTCAAGCCCACTGCCGGCCCTGACAGAGGCCTTTGGCACACCTGCCAGCACCCTGGCCCTCTCAAGAGCAGGCATTCACCAGCTGCAGATTAGGAGCTCTGCAAAGAGCACGGAAGGTGGTTTCACCCACCCTGCCCTGCGCCCAGTTTTTCTCCTTCCTCATTACAAAGCCCAGGAAGTCATTAGCTAAAAGGTCCTGAGCGTCTGCTCGATTTCCTGGCTCGTATTGATTGCCAGAGCTGTTACTGAAAGGTGCTTAAGGGGGCTTCTGAATCCAATACCCACCTGATGCCAATTTAGCCATAACGTATAACTGGCAAACGGTCCATATCTTGGGAGGGTCTGCTTTAGCCCCCAAGGAGAATATCAAGTATTGCTCCGAAAATGAAACAACTCCATATGGGGGGCGAAAGCCAATGACAGAACTAACCTGTCTGCCTTAGATCACAATGGAGGGGGACTAGCTGGCTCAAGGGATGGGAGATGGAGCTGTCCATCTCTAGGTCACAGGCTTGGATCTGGTCCAAGTGGCTTCTGACAGTTGTTACAATCTGATGGCTCTTTGGTGACCGGCGTGAAATGGGCTGGTGGGCTCAGCTCAGCCCAATAACTATTGGACAGTGGTTCACCTCACGACATGCCCCCCCATGCTGGTGGTCTCAGCCAATGGCTGCTGCCCATGTTCTCTGCCTGTTCTGACCAGAACTAGAGCACTTCTGCCTCCCGAGCTTTTAATTCGCATGATTTCCTGAGCTCTGATTTGGATTGGAAAGTTTCAGCCCAGTACTTAGACCCATAGACTTTAAGGTCAGAAGGGACCATCATGACCATCTAGTCTGACCTCCTGCACATGGCAGGCCACCACACCTCACCCACCCCCTCCTGTAACAGACCCATAACCTCTGGCTGAGTAACTGACATCCTCGAATCATGGTTTAAAGACTTCAACTTACAGAGAATCCACCATTGACACTAGTTTAAACCTGCAAGTGACCCATACCCCATGCTGCATACACACAACACATATGCATGCACGCACACACATATATTATATAAAATATACATGCAAATGCACACACACACCAGCATCTGATTGCAACTAATTTTTTTAATACAAACAAACAAGGACTCTTGTCCTGCAACAAACAGCCGCCCATGGGATACTCTCAGCGTTACATTTTCTATTCTCATAACCACATTCAGTGCAAAACAAATGACTCTTGGGAGCAGTCATCTCAGAGGACCTACTCACATGGCACTGCTTAGCTTCCATGTTTAGCCATTGTGCTGCAGGTGCTGATGTAATAAACAAGTCTGCCTTTACAGTTTGGAGGGCACCCCAAAATCCCCCATGTTCAACTGAACACCTACAGATGCAACACTCGATGGTTCAAATCAGCTAATGCTTGGGTATTTATCACCACTAACTCACGAGTCCTGCTCTTGTGTTCAAGGGGGAATTTCTAACTCCTTCAATGCAGTCTATCAACACCTGTGTCCAGAGAGTCCTGATAGGTACAGCAAGTGCTCACATGCTGTGGATCCTTAGGAAAGACACTGACATGGAGAAATGCAGTGAAACTAGTCATTGCCCATATATCTTCTAATCTCTGTGGCCCTCACCCAATCAAATGATAGGGGACCTTCCTTCTTGAAACCGCCGCAGAAGCGTTCCTCTGCTGTAGGTCTGACTGATACAACCTCAGCGGCGTCGCATATCTGGTTGTCACAGAGAAGAAACATGTGTCTGGAGGAAACTTGTCAACAAACAGCCACAAGGGATATTTTCTCATTATTGATCAGAGGTTGCTTCCTGCTTTTGTTTGTATTTTTTCCTGTGAATAGCCTAATTGCAGAATTGTCCATAGGAACAATGGAGCTAGAAACAAATCCCATTCACTGAAATCCTGTGTTCTTCGGTGTTTTGTTCTGATTTCTCCTCTACATCCTTTGGAGACGCTATCTGAAGCCAAATTCCTGCTGCCTCCCGTGATGCAGCTCTCTCCTGGCATGCATCTTTGGAAGGTTTTCCTCTGGTTCTGGCCCTAAGCTAGTAAAAGGGCTTTCAAGGAATTGTGGGTGGTTTGAAGAGGCTGACTCGAGTGAAGGAAATTTAGCAAATCAATTACATGCTGCATGAGGCCCGATAGATATGGAACAACCGAACATATAATCCAAGCGTGGCCAATCTGCAGCCACACAGTGCTACACTGCAGCCTGAGGCTGCACCTCCAGGGAATGCTCCTGGAGGTGGCCAAATCGAGATGGTCTGTTGCATGATGGGGCCTATCACTGATTGCTAATTGCATGCTGGGGGTTGTCGTCTCCATAGGCTATAACGCTATAAAAGTCAAGAGTGACTGCAATCTGCTTCTTTAATACAAAATGGGTGTGGCTCCTAGGCTCCTGGCAAATTGTCAGCAGGTACGTTTACACAGCAAAGACATGCCAGCCGATTTGGACCCATGGGGCTCTGGCTGCGGGGCTGCTGTGTAGACCTCCGAGCTTGGGATGGAGCCCGGGCTCTGGGACCCTGCGAGGTGGGAGGGTCTCAGACCTCAGGCTGCAGCCCGAGCCCTGCGGCATGGACCAGCTGCTGGTGTCTAATTGCTGCGTAGACACACCCAGTGTGACCTCAGTTACACAAAGACTTGGTGCCCCTGCTGAAGGAAATGGTATTGCCTGAGACTGGCTAACAGTCTCCTTTGCACCCAGCAGGGGAACATTATCAACTGCAGTATGAGGCAGCAGGAGCACATGTGCTAACCTCTCCACTGGGAACAAATAGAACTGTCCTGCAGGAAGAGGTAACACAATGGAGTTCATTCACTTGCATCTCATCTCAAGAGATGTGAATGAAACCTAAAGGCAAGCACAAAAGAACTGAGTCCCTGGTGGTTCCATCCCACCCACTCCTGTGCCCAGTTCAGCACAGCTCTCGGTCAGAGAGAGCACAGGTGGGGGAAATGCATCGCTTGAGCTGCAGTAGGAAAGGTTAGTCACTGGTCTCTGCCCCATGCCTGGTGCTAGTGACCATCAGAACTCTAACGTTGCCATGAGCAGTTAGACGCCAGCACGTTCGCTCAGAGCAGGTGGCACGTTCCAACCACAGTAAAGGACAGACAGATCTATGGCAAATTGCAATCGGATTCCTTTACCTGTGGGACTATGAGTTTTGGAGCACGGGGTGCTGGCCTGGTTGGAGGAATTCGTCTCGCAGTGTCCTTCGGAATCCCATCTATCTGATATACCAGACCAGGGGATTTCCTGGTGTCGTTGCTGTGGCCAGCTGGGAAAGCACGTGGTTGCTGTATATTAGTTTTGAGATCTGGGGCAGGTTTGGGGTGAAGCACAGCAGGTTTCGATGGGATTTCTGGGGTGGAGGTAGCCTGCATACAAGTCACACAAACACCAGGCATTATTTCCACATCAGACATGCTGCTTTCTATACTCATTGTCGCACCTCTGTTTCTTCCATGAGGCCTTCCAGCAATACAGCAAAAAGTGCTGACTACAGAGTCATAAACTGGCCAAGTGACTCTGTCTTCGGCCATGGATATCTAGCAAACGTTGATCATTTTGCCTGTGACACAGTCCACACCAGGAAGTTTACAAGTGTCAGCAACGGGTGCATTGAATAGTGTAGAAAACAATTTGGCTGTGATTTTCAAAGGAGCCAAAAGGAGTGAGTCTAGGGTTGCCAACTTTTTACTCACACAAAACCGAACACCCTTGCCCCGCCCCTCCTCTGAGGCCCCACCCCCCTCTCACTCCATCCCCACCACCACCACCACCACAACTCGCTCTCCCCACCCTCACTCACTCGCTCATTTTCACCTGGCTGGCTCAGGGGGCTGGGGTACGGGAGGGGGTGAGGGCTCCAGCTGGGGGTGTGGGCTCTGGGGTGGGGCCAGGGATGAGGGGTTTGGGGTGCAGGAGGGGTCTCCGGGCTGAAGCCGAGGGGTTTGGAGTATAGGAGGGGGCTCCGGGCTGAGGTTGGGGTGCAGGCTGGGGGTGCAGGTTCCGGGGTGGGGCCAGAAATGAGGGGTTCAGGGTGCGGGAGGGGGCTCTGGGCTGGGGCAGAGGGTTGGGGTGGTGAGGGCTCCGACTGGAGGTGCGGGCTCTGATGTGGGGCTGGGGATGAGGGATTTGGGGTACAGGAGGGTGCTCCAGGCTGGGACCGAGGGGTTTGGAGTGCGGGAGGGGGCTCTGGGCTGGGGAGCGGGCGGTATGAGGGCTCTGGCTGGGGGTGCAGACTTCCTGTGACCCACAGGAAAAAAATCAAACACGGGCCACTCAGCCACCGGGGGGGGGCATGGAGGCTCGGGGCTTCCCCCTGCAGCGGGGCGAGTTGGCGCTTGTGGCTCCAGCCCAACTGTTCTGGTCGAAAACCGGACACCTGGTCACCCTAAGTGAGTCACTCAAAATCGTAAGACTGGCAGGGACCTCGAGAAGTCATCTAGTCCAGTCCCCTGCTCTCAAGGCAGGACTAAGTATTATCTAGACCATCCCTGACAGGTGTTTGTCCAACCTGCTCTTAACAATCTCCAGTGATGGAGATTCCACAGCCCCCCTAGGCAATTTATTCCAGTGCTTAACCACCCTGACAGTTAGGAAGTTTTTCCTAATGTCCAACCTAAACCACCCTTGCTGCAATTTAAGCCCATTGCTTCTTGTCCTATCTTCAGAGGTTAAGAACAACAATTTTTCTCCCTCCTCCTTGTAACAACTTTTTATGTACTTGAAAACTGGTATCATGTCTTCTCTTTTCCAGACTAAACAAACCCAATTTTTTCAATCTTCCCTCATAGGTCATGTTTTCTAGACCTTTAATCATTTTTGTTGCTTTTCTCTGGACTTTCTTCAGTTTGTCCACATCTTTTCTGAAATGTGGCACCCAGAACTGGACACAATACTCCAGCTGAGGCCTAATCAGCACAGTGTAGAGCGGAAAAATTACTCCTTGTGTCTTGCTTACAACACTCCTGCTAATATATCTCAGAATGATGTGGAGACAGAGGCAGACTGGGTTTAGCACTATGGCTGAACAATGCCTCTGAGTAGGTTTCTGGTGTCTTTGTCTCTACCTTTCTGTGTTCCTGTGGGGTTTTCAGCTTGAAGGCTGGATTTGCATGGCCGTTTACACCATACTGATCTGGAGCAGAGGCACTGCTGGCAATCAGGGAGAGAAAAGAAAAGAATGGTTAATGAATTTCCTCTTTTTTTCTTTGCCTAAATTTCAACAAGAAGTTTCATCAAAATTTGAAAACAACATCGACCAGCCCAACCAGCATGTTTAACCATGTCGCCCTCTAGTGACTAAACTTTACCACGCAAACTGCTATCCTGACATCCACAAACATCTGTGTCATTCATTAGTGGCTGCCTGGCCAACAGAATCGCCTATGGGAACGTTTTCTTGTGCCTATTCTCCAAAGGGAAGTGTCTGAAAGTTCAGTCCATGGAGTGATCTGCATGGCATGAACCTTCTCGGTGCTCGACAGGGAGACGGATAATTAGATACAGGAGTTATTTGTGATTTCTCTTTTCTCGGACACTGGAAAGGTTTGGGACAGAGGGAGGCAAAGAATAATAGTGAACATTCACCCAAACTGTTGGCTCCTCTTTGAAGGGATGATGGTCTCTTTTAGAGGCCTGAGTCTGTCCCTCCATTTATAGCAGCAAAACGCAACTGCTATTCCGATCAAAAGCAAGATGGAAACCAGGACTCCTGCTATCACTGGAACCAGGCCTGAGAGCAAGAAAACAGAATCAATCACTGTGTAAGGATCTTCCTTCCCCAACCCACTCCCCACTGCTTTACTAGGGACCAGGAAGATCAAATGAGTCACACCCACTTTCTTGGGGCAAGGGCCCACTGTCCAGGCTGCCTCCGTTCCCAGGTTTGTTGCAAAACGGGGGCGCCCATCCATTGTTGCAGTGGCAGTTCTTGTTGCTGTTGCATACCTGTTTCGGGAACAGTTAGGGACTTTATTGGCAGTTGCTCAGCTCTGCTAGAATCCACGCACAGCAACTAACCAAACACCGGCCTCCAGCCCCTCACATGGGCCACATGGTAGAGTCGGTTTTCAAAGGCACAAATTGGGAGTTAGACGCCCGTCACTCGCATGGGATTAAGAAGCAGGAGACCAGAGGGGCTCATGTAAATGTGACACCAGAACTGAGTTTTTAAGTATAAATAGCTCCACAAAATGCCATGCACAAATGTACAGTGGCTTGTCCCCACCCCAGCCTGAAATGGAGACGAGACAGAAAGACACTCACTCCCCGCCCATGGCACTTCTTCCGACAGCCTTCAGAGTCAAAGATGGATGTGTTCCTGCAGTGTCCCTCGAAGCAAACCTGTGGGAACAGGAACCAAACACCCTGTCAGCTCTCTGGGGGAGGGACCGTCTCATTGTTCCATGTTTGTAATTGTACAGCACCTGGTCCCAGGGGGGAGGGGCTGGCTAGGACTCCTGGGGGCTACCAGAGTACAGATAATAATAAATAATAATGTCAGAACTGAAGCCACGGCCAGCAGTGAGGTTCGGCTGGTCTCCAAACAAATGTCCATCCCCATCCGCGCCCCAGTGAATGGAACTTCAGACACGCGATGGAGAAACTGAGGCTAAGAGGCCAGTTGACTTGCCCAACGCAGGCCTGTGGGAGAGCTGGTATTAGTTCTTGACCCATACGCTGGCGCTCGTCGCTCTAGGCCGCACTGTCTGAGAGCACAAGACTCAGATCTGACATCATCCCCCCCGTTCACATGGCAAAGAGCTAAGGCGCCGCCTTTTGGTATCAGTGTAAAAAAGGAGCCTTCTTCTGCTGCTCGAGAGAGGGAACTATTAGAAACACAGGACTGGGAGGGACCTCCTAGGTCATCATGTCCAGCCCCTGCTATAGCAGGTAACCTGCGGTAGGGATGCCGTGTTATCTCTCAACAAGCACACAGAAGCAGTGCTGTAAGAAGTTGCTCACGTGACATACGTAGCAATTCCCCACAGAGGCAGGAAGCCTCAGGTGAGAATTGTTTAATAACCATAGAGCATTTTCCAGCCGGCAAAGCCACACCCAGACCCATCCAACAACACCGTGGTACGCGGCTGTACCTACATGATTGTTCCCACACTTTGTTCCCGTCATCACCAGGCCAGGGTCTAGCATATCCCCTTCACTCTCTTCAGCACCATACACGTGGGTCCCCCGACACTTGATCGGCCTTCCCTCCACCGTGATGGTGGTGTCTATCGAGACAGCTCTGGACTCCAGCGGCTTGGAAGCAGAGCTCTGGCACTGTATCTTCCCGCATTTCGCGTCTCTGTTGGAAACGTGGAGACAGGGTGAAGGGTTGCATCGTGCCTTCTGGTTAACGTTTCCACTTTATTCCCACAGAATTAAGAAAATTCACATTAAAACCAAGAGATAGGAGGGGGCGCTGACCAATCTCTGAACTTATGTCAAGACAATAACATTCATTGGTTCAGTGGCAACAGAAATAAGGAGCCATTGAGAGCCAGCTTATGGAACAATCCTAAGGAGACAGGCTGTCACCATCTCACCTATGTACCTGGGGTAAGCCAAACCCAACAGACTCATCAACAGGACACAGACTGCAGGGCCCTTCGCCCCACCGTGTGTTGAGACTGTTCAGTCTGAGTGGATGGACATGGAGATGGACATGAACGCACCTTTTAGAGGTTATAAATATTGGGCCTGGCCAAATAACAGGGAACAACACTTAGCAAAACTTTTTCAAAAATTTCCTTCCCTGTTTATTGTCGGGTAGAAATCTCATCCTTTTTTCTTCAAAATTCAGGGTTGGTTTTTTTTGGTGAAATCTTTAAACTTGGAAAAATTTCGAGCAGCCCAAATAAATAGCAATGCTACTATCATAAAGAACCGCACAGTTCTAATTGGGATAAGGGCGGTCTGACGGCAGGGTGAGGGCATTAATACGAACAGAGGGTAGCTAGCTTTAATCTGGTGGTCCTTATCTTAGCAGGGTAGGAAACATCACTTCCCTACTAGCGGTTATCAGTGGCCATTCTGCATTCTACCTCGTTTCACACTTCCTGTATCTGCCGTAGACATCCTTCCCGCAGTTCCCGTAGGTGTCGCCGGCAGCGTTAACCTTCTCAAAGCACAGGTCAGGTGCGGGCCTTGCTCCTGTATGGAAGAGACTCATGTGACTGACTCTTGGGGAAGGTGGTGGCTTCCTAGGGTGACCAGATGGGGACAGTCCCAATATTTGGGGCTTTGTCTTTTATAGGCGCCTATTACCCCCATCCCGATTTTTCACACTTGCTGTCTGGTCATGCTACTGCTTCCTCAAACCCAGCACCCCATCACTTGTTCATTCTTTTTCCCTGACAAGTTAATAATATAATAATAGATGGAGATATACCTATCTCATAGAACTGGAAGGGACCCTGAAAGGTCATCGAGTCCAGCTCCCTGCCTTCACTAGCAGGACCAAGTACTGATTTTGCCCCAGTTGGCCCCCTCAAGGATTGAACTCACAAGCCTGGGTTTAGCAGGCTATCCCTCCCCCCTTAGATGGATGGATGGATGACAACCTATTACTACTTGCTCCCAGTGAGCAGTGCAGGAGAGGTTTTCCAGCCGAGCGTGGACAGCCTGGGACAAGTCCTCTGGAACTGAACACTGCTGAGTGCTAGCCCTCTAGGGATATAGCGAACGGGTGGAATGCTGGGCACCGCTGGAGCTTTCTGGCTGGCTGTCACTGGTATAATTTGTACAAGCACTTGGGTTTGCATTTGTGCTTCCTCCAGCCCCAACTGGCTTCTCCTGGATCACATGGTGAAGTCACAATTCCATGCTTGTGAGATCATAATCTGTCACCATAGAAATCTACAAGTCCTCTGTTTATCTGAAAACAGATACAACACGGGCAGAGGAAGTAGAAGCTTCTGGGTGCTGCCCCTGCAATATGCCTCAACCCTTCCTGGCCACTTCTGGAGACAGTTACGGGGAGGCAGCATGCTACAGCATACAGGGCACTGACCTACAAGTCATGAGACCAAGGTCCAATTCCTGGGGTGGCCAATGACCTGCTGCGTGAACTTGGGCACGTCATATTCCCTCTTTGTGACTGTTTCCCCTCCCACCCTTTGTCCATCTGGTTTCTTTGGATTGGAAGATCCTCCAACTGGAGATTGTCTTTCATGATGTTTGTACCATGCCCAGCACAATGGGGCCTGATCTCACTATGGGGTCCTAGGTGCTACCATCATGAACAATAATAATAATCTAAAGCAGATGATCAATCTTGCAAAGACCATCTCACCAGGGAGCCTACTTCTCTGCAAGACACTCTCCTTACCGGGCCCCCAGAGCTCCACGCACTGCTGCTCGTACGTGAGACACATGCCAACGTAGCAATACGCCCTCCTTCCTGCACACGGCGTGCCGTCCATTTGGTAGAAGTTGGCGGGGCAGAATGCTGACTTGCCAGTGCAGTGCTCTGGCAGGTCACAGGGTCTCGACGTCTCCCTGCAGAGAGTTCCTGGAGCCATCAGCTAAAGAGATGGAGGGGGGAAAAAAATCAACGGTTACTCCTTGCCTGTCTGCAATAGGATTTTTTTTCTCTACAGTTAGAAAAATCTACAAGCTGTCTAATCTAGCCATCCCACAGCTCTTAGTCTTAGCCACCCTCAAACTGCTATCAACTGAACTTTCATTAACTAGCTAGTCGTGGTTAAAAGCAAGTTGATCTGTTTAAGCCCTTTCCCGTCTCTGGTTAAAATGAGATGGGCGAAGTAGAGTACCGTGACCCGGTGAGTATCTTTCATCTCTAGGATGGCTGGGAACCCAGGCCGAGTCATTGAAATGCTGTTAGCGTTTCGCAGCCCACTGGCGATCGACATGGGCACATTGTCACTATAAGACGATTGCACACACACCTGTGTGAGGATTAATCGCCTAGAGAAACTGCGGGGCTTTGAACTTGGGACGCTGGGCTCCAAAACCAGACATAGGTTCCCGCAAGATCTAACAAGACAGCAAAACTGTTTGACGCAAGCAAGGCAGTCAGATCGCTCCAGTGGCAGGCTCTGCTTGATATATATTTACACACCGCTCATCACACCCACTGAGCTGAACATAGTGACATTTGGTTGTAGAGTTTACAACCACTGGGCCAGGCAAGCGTATTGTTTGCAGAACTCAAGACCTCTACACCCAGGCTTGGAAGGAGTTAAAACAACCAGGCTATTTTGACCAGACTTTCCTAGGGAAGCAGAGATGTAAAGTGAGATCCAGACAGCCACGGCACACACCCTGCTGCTGGAGTTTCTCCGGTTACCTGCTATGCTAGAGGAATTCAACTGTTCACTAGAAGGCTAAAGACAAAGATAACATCCAGTCGAACCCCCTCATGGAAAACACTCCTTCTCGTGTGCAGGTTTCTCCTGGGATACAATTTCACTCTTTCACCGACCACTGGGGCAGAACACAAAAACCATCAATAAACTGGTAACATAATCCACCAGGGAACCTACGCTCCAAGCCCTGCTGTGCCAGTTATCTTTTTGGAAACAGAAGCTTGTCCCTTGATGCAGTTTAACCCCTCGTAATCACAGCACGGCACCAGCGTAAGCCAAAACAGATGGTGCTGGTCTCCCCAAGGGATGGAAGGTGGAAGGGAAGGGGAGAAAACGGACTTCTCCACTGTCTAGACTACCCACGTTTTTTTAAATTGCAGAAGCCTACAGAGTTCACTCCACTGATCACAGAAGAGGCTGCAGGCAGTAACAAAGTGACAGGAACCGAATCCAACTGGCCACGTGTTTGAAATGACAGGGACTATGACCAGCATACGCTTCACGCAACACTCCAATGGAGCAACGAATTAACCTACATTATGTACTGAAATCCTGTTCATATAAACGACAAAGGCTTGCAAAAATGACTAGAAATTTTAGCTGCCTCCGTTGTTGGGGACCCAACTTTAGGTACCTGAAGAGCTGTGCTTTGCAGAAAGGGTGGAGTATCCGTTCTCTGAAATTCTGGCCTCTTTAATCGCTCTGAAGTTGAGCACCCAAAACCATGAGTCACTTTTGAAGATCTTGGCCTATACTGCTTACAAGCTTAGGACATCGGGATTCGGGACCCAAGGGTCTTTTCTTCCTCCTCGGCAGCATTTCTCAAAGCAATAAGGCCACAGCCTCAAAGGCAGCCTCCACCTTTGTGCCGGAAGTCGATGGCGGGCAGCGAACAAAGTGGGTACGAATGCAGATGTCTCACACCCTGAGTGGTGAACGCGACCAGGTGGCTAGATCTCCACATTCTACCATTTGCCCCACTGTTGACTGCAGGTCCAAAATCAGGGGGCTGGGACCCATTTGAAAATGTCTCCCTGGAGCCTGGCCAGTACTATGGGGCCTCAGTGAGCTAACAGCAGGAATCTATCAGCTGTAGGGCTCTGTATTTTTTTTTTTTTTAATATGGAGATATACCTATCTCATAGAACTGGAAGGGACCTTAAAAGGTCATTGAGTCCAGTCCCCTGCCTTTACAGCAGGACCAAGTACCATCCCTGACAGATTTTTGCCCCAGATCCTTAAACGGCCCCCTCAAGGATTGAACTCACAACCCTGGGTATAGCAGGCCAACGTGCAAACCACTGAGCTATCCCTTCCCCTACAGTGTGGTCTGTGCTTATCACCATGGTATCTGTTGCCTTTGGACAGAGTGGGAGATACTTGCACAGGAGAATGCAACTGTATTTAAAGGTGCATGTTGTATACGAGCTGTTTCCCAAAATATTTTATAGAGATAATAAACAATAGCAGAGGGGCAAAGAAACTAGACGGCACAAGCAAGATACGCCTGCATGAGGTGGGGAATCCAAACAGTGCCCAGGACTGTGTCCCATACGTCTTTTCAAATCATTGGCGGGAGGAGCCGTAAATTTGGGGCCACATGCTCCTCGCTCCGTCAGTTTCTCCTCAGCCACTCCCCTGTTCTAACAGCCCCCGACCAACCTCTCTCTTCTTTGCTAGCAACGGGCCCCACCTTGCACTGGTGACAGCAGGTTCCATGCGCACACTCGGCGCCAGGCTTCAGGGAGCAATCGATGGCGTTGCAGCAGGGATTATTGCACTCCTGAGAGAGAGGAACAAGAGACGTGTGGTGTTTATGAGGCAGATGTTCTGAGCCGGAAACACCCAGGTGGCCAGTTGCCAGGGCGGGGCTTATCCCATTCTTGTTGATGATGCACATAGTGCATCTGACCTCCCCCCTCTCCCTGCATGTTCAGTACAACTGGCCCTTCCAGAAAGCCCCGCACTTGTCTTCTAACTGCAGCACTGCTGTATCCTCCCTGGGAGTAGTATGCTATTGCCCCCCCCCTTCTAATGAATGGAAGGTTAGCTCATGCTGTGTGCATTTCAACTGGCGGCTCTGGCCTGCTAGCCCCAGGAGGGTTCCATCTCATCCTGCTTCATCGCAGAGAGGAGAAGACAGGGAAGCACAGAATGAAAGAAAGGAGGCAACCTGACATGTTCAGAGATGAAGCTGCACATAATTCCAGTGAGCCTGGCAAACCGCAATATAAATGAGGCTCGTACGGCTGTCCGAAAGGCCAGTGAGTCTTCTACCCACTTTTTTTCTGATTTAGATCTGGGTCCAAATCGATTGCGGATTCCAGATCCCTGAACTTCAAACCTACGTCTGGCTTTGAATTTTGCAAATGACTCCTCCTCTTTGCATCAGGTCAAACCAGAGGCCCCTGGACTATCTGAAATCTAGAACTCGATGCAAATTTTGTGGTGTGTCCAGGCTACCCACCTAGTTTAACTGTATTTTAGAGCTGGGTTGGTGGAGCGATTGCATTAAGATGGCAACTAGAATACTCATACCTAGCTGTTATGTAGCACTTCTCACCAGTAGATCTCAAGCGCTTCACCCCCATTATCATTATCCCCATTTTACAGATTGGGAAACTGAGGCAGAGAAGGGCGCTGTGATTTGCACAAGGTTAGCCAGCAGGCCAGTGGCAGAGCCAGGAATAGAAGCCAGGCTAGTGCTAACGGGCTTCTCTACACTGAACTCCCATCCTTCCGCTCATGCAAATGCTCTTCCCATTTATTTTCTCTGTCTCTTTTGAACCAGACTAACCATTCCCTGTGGATTTTTCAAATACGTTCCGTGGGAAGTGCTTTAGCTTAGTATAGTTCCTAAAGCTACAAGCATCCAGCTTGCATGCTCTCTCCATACATGTCTCCTACCAGCATGTATGCTGGATGTTCCCTGCACATGCCTTCTGCCAAAAGCAGTGCTGAATGTGTAACCACTCTTGCAAGGGGTCGTCGGCAGGGATTAATCCTAAAATCTTCAGCATCAAAAGCACAGACGTCTGTCACCTGAGCTAAAGGAGTCACTTCATTAGCGGATATCAGTAGTAGGCTCTTATCTTCTATGAGCATCAGCCACTAGAGGGGGACATGACCCATTTAGCTAGCAAGTTACAAATGCATGTTACCATTATTGTTTGTATTGTGGTAGCCCCCAGAGGCCCCAGGCAGGATTAGGGATGCATTGTGTTAGGTGCCGTACATACAGTTAGACAAGGTCTCAGCCTTAAAGAGCTTTACAATCTGATGGACATTGCACCCATGTTAATTGTACTTTACATACGCGTGTCTCCTGCACCTATAAAAGCTGTGCACATATCATGGGTTTGTGTGCCTGTCGGCTGCTTCGCACCCGCATCACTTTCTCCCATCTCAGCCTCAAACAATTCGATCTAAACGAGAGTTACCTCCACTTCTCCGCAGTCACATTCCTCCCCATCTTCCAGGTAACCGTTTCCGCACCTCTTCCCTCCGTATAAAGTATTGGGGTCTGGCATGTTGGAGAGACATATCCCTCCGCCGGACTGCAGGTACCTGTCCAGCTCCTTCCGATTGCACGTGTTGAATACCCTGGGGAACGGATGCCTGCACACAGATCAGGTCAGAGGAGCATCGCGTGAGAGGCGATCTAAGGCATAAAGCAGCAGAGCAAATGCACCCACGGGTAGAACTGCTCCTCCTCTGAAGGTTGGGCTCCCACCGGGACTGCAGTGAAGTTGCACAAAGGGTGAATTTGGCCTGTGTGTTCCTGGGCAGGGTCAGATTCCATCTTGTATCCAGGTTACAGCGGACAAGGAGTTTAGATTTCAGCTCTGATGCCTCCTTTCCCCAGGTGGGGGATTCAAGGTGGGAGAGTCTGGAAGAGGCATAGCGGACACCCCATCCAAGAGGTTTTCTTAATATCAAGTAATATCAAGTATCACTAGGGTGACCAGAGAGCAAATGTGAAAAATCAGGATGGGGGTGGGGGGTAATAGGAGCCTATATAAGAAAATGACATCTGGTCACCCTAGGCTCCACGTACACGGCCCCCAAGGAGATATACCCTTAGCCACTCAGTATGGCTTCTTCCGAACTGTTAGAGTAACTTTTAGAACCTTACACTTGACACTGAATAATTGGTTGTGAATCTGACTGATAAAAAGATTTATCCCCCCCCCACCTCCCAACCTCCTACTCAAGTGGAACAGGTTTAAGTAGGTTTTCTGTTACATGGCTTTTTAATCTCCTCGTGGGGTGTATGTGTGTATACATACATGTATGTTAGATGCATGCACACAGGCACATGCGTGTTGCATTTGTGTGCATGTTGCGTGTGTGCACGCATGCCAGCGTACCGCCACCTTCCCTCTTGATATTTTTCTTTGTTTGTGAAAACTCAATGACTTCAAAACAAGGGGTTTTAAAGATGGGCTTGTGATAAACAACTTCAAATGTTCTTGGTTAAATGATGGGTTTGTTTCATTTCAAATAAGAAGGGGGTGAGGAGTGGGGGGTGGGTTAGGGTTTTTTATTAGTACAAAGCCCAGCTCTAGAACTTCTAGAAACTCTTCTGGAGCCCTGAGGAGTGAATTTTTCAGCAATACGAGGGCATGTGGCTTTAAGGGAGGAGGGCAGAGCTAGGGATTGTGTGTGTCTGAAGAAACACAGAACCCATGAAAAATTAACCCTGAATCCCCCTGGGTTTACACTCTAGCTCGTCCTCCCTCTTCCCCTCAGGGCTTGCGGTTCCTTTTCTGGGAAATACAGACTTGTAACCACTCACCTGAAATAGAAGCAGAAGAGCATGGACCAAATCCATTTGCTGCACCACCACTTCCAGGGCAAAACTACGCTCTCACCCCATTAACCTGTTAATTGCCCCCAGTGAATTAACATGAAGTGGAACTGAGTTCTCTTAACAAGAAGCTCCTAACAGGCAACGACAACCCCAGGTAACCGGCTTACAAACATGGCTTTGTAGCTGTGCCTTTGGATGGTCCCCCAGGTAATCGCTTTGCCCTTGGTTACCACATTGCCTGGGAATATGAACCCTGCTGTTATACAAGTAAAGGTGCCTAACACCCGTAGGGGTATTTTACATACAGAGCACATGCAACTAAATCGACTAAACCCTCCTGCTGCAGGGCATTTGGGCTGACCCCTTCATTCCACTGGGGTCAGTCATTTGGTAGGGGGCAGTTTAATTTAAACTGGGAATTAAACTAACTGCTCCTGCCGCGTGACCCAAGTTGCCACTGAAGAGGTGTCTCCGTAAACCTGTTACATACAACACCCAGCGCTGGACCCAGCTCCATGCTGCCTCCTCACTGATCCCCGTTCCCCTGGGTTCTCTGGGACGCAGCGGGTTTTGTTTTCCACGGAAGAGCAACTCACCCCGTGGCGGCAGCCATGATGCAGCCTCCGTCGTCAGCCCGGGCGGCACAGCAGCCAGCCGAGTCGTGGCTCATGCCCAAGTTGTGGCCCATCTCATGGGCCACGGTGGCAGCGACGCCAATGGGGTTGTCGGAGTGATCCTGGTCAGAATCAAAGAGCAGCGTCAGCGTGTCACCGACACGTCGGCCGAGCGCTCGCACCGAGCAGGGCTGGGCCGAGAGGTGCATTTTCTGCTGCTGAAGGTGGGCCTGCAGTCAATGGGGCAGTTTGGATCCAGGTCTGGATGCTGGAGCTCAGGCCCATCTCTGTCTGTTTCAGATGTCTGTTGCAAAGTGGTCTGCTGGCCATGAGCACCAATCTGTACTGCCTACGGCCTGTCTTGTCTGGGCCATAATGCTGTATAACAGGCCTTTACTTTGGGTTGAATTGAATATTGTTTATCGTTAGACCCCGGTAGCCTTTTACACGATCGGAGTGGTGGCACCACGTGCTGCATTGCTGGCACCCGAGACTGAAGTCGTGAAGTCTTGTTTTCTACGCACAAATGCTCCAGATTCAACTCCCACCTCAATCTTCTCCCCACCAACGTTTTGTCAGACTGTGTGCGCCCCGGATTAATGAGGTACCCAGAGCCTTTCACGGATGCACGGAGAATTGTTACCTGGGGTTGTCTTTAACCTTTTATGAAAGGGAATGCTGGAGACCGACCTAAAAAAGCGTTTTCCCTCTTGGTTTTCTGGGAGGCAGCTATCACACATATTTGCTACGCACAGGAAATGCCTGATTAGTTGTTAGTAATAACTTACCATGTTCACCCCTCCAGATTGGAAATCGGAGCACATGGCCATCAGTGGAGCTAAGCCGATTGTGGTGCCCTGGAACGACATCCCACTGAAAACAATCCGGAGAAATAATGAAATGGGACAGAGATGTAGTCTGAGGTCTTGTAGAAACCAATGCTGTCTGTAGCCCTATGAACTTACATCAGACCATAAGGAAATGGCTTCTTCATTAATACCTTTCCTGCTATCTTCACAGTTTAGCTTTTCAGCTCCATCATTCCTCTTCTAGAGCTAATAGTTCACCTTACACCATGATCAAGCCATCTAGACTGTGCAGCCAATCCGATTGCTTGTAATGGCCTGGTGATGTTCCTAGCAGATTACTGACTTCCTGGACTTGGAAACAAACACACAAGAGACTGTCCACTGACAATCCACCCCAGGCTGTATCCTGAGCACAATGCATGCTGGGGCCACACTCTGGGAATGTAATGAGTGCTGGGTGAATACCCAGGCAGTGCAGATCTATTCCAGGGCTCACTATGCTAGCTCAGTGCATTGATTTAAGGAGTCCCCAGTCACCTGGAATGCTACACTGCCCTTCCGAGTTTTTAGGGTCTCATAAGAAAGCGGTGGCTTGGGGAATCATGTCCGACCAGACACTCAGAACAGTATGAAAAACAGAATGAATCTGTCTGTGAAAAACCCCACGGAAAAGGTGTTGCATCTCTGCATTTTCTTTTCACTGGCTCCCACTCCACTTCTCACTAGGGAGCTGCTGCAGATTGTTCTTCTAACAGGCCCACCTTGCTGACCCTGTATCCAGTGGAACTAATCAGATCAACAGGATGAGTCACTCTGATTAGCCAGCTAGCTCCCAGCCCGGTGCGCCAAGCATGTCAGAGTGCAGAATGATGCACTTGCTAACACAGGGCGCTGCCCCAGAACTGGCTGAGTGCCTCCTGCAATCTGCACCCACTGAACTGTACATCTTGCCTTACTGCCCAGATCTTCAGAAAAGTCTGTGCACAATTGTGCATGCAAAGATGCACAAGCATTTGCACGAGTATTATGCATGCACAATAATGGGGATGGCAGTCCCCCACTTCAATGTACATGGACTGTGACTCCATACCACTTTCTAAAGCTCCAGCCCCATGAATGCGGTCCAACCAGAACCTTATCCCTGCTGATTTCACACCTTGTCCCCAGATCCCTTGGGCAGAGAGATCGTGTTATTCCAGGAAAAGCAACATACGTGATTAACTGGGCATTGTCGTGCTTTTTGCGGGCTAGCAGCTTGCGCCTCCAAGCAAGGAAGGACCAAAGGGTGGAATGTGAATTCTCGGATATATCGCACTTATTTCGGTCAGTCCAGACCTCCAGCCCCACCAGGGCAATCCGAATGTTCAGGGACTTGTAAAACTAGAAGATGCACAGAGAGGAGAGGAAAGAGCCGATCAACTGATTGCTGACGATTTTTCTCCTCATATTAAACCGTTAATATAAACAATGCTAAATATGTGAATTTTGTACAGTTAGACAGAACCGTAGGTTCAGGGAAAGTGGGTCTCCCTAGAAGCATGTTCTACCCTCAGCTCTGGGATGGGACGAGCCCCCTCAGCATCCAATTCAAAACCCTTCCAAAGCACCGACTGGGCTGGATGCCAGATGTGGCGCTTTCCTTGTGGGGCTAATGGGAGCAGGTTGCTGTAAGCGATGAAGGTCACCCACAATAACACAGCTTTGAGAAGAAACAATTCAAAACACATTGAGATTTTCTTGCTAACACCCCTGTAAGGGGAGGGGATTCCCTCTCAGCTCCCCGTCTCCAACGCCTCTGCTCAGTGGAACTGTTCTGGGGGCGCCGCCCAGTCTCCACAGTGCCAGGTCATCGGGGAGAAGGAGCCAGTGGGGAATTCCCTTTGCTGAGAAGGATACCTTCTTTCTGGCACAAGAAGTTCAGGTGACTGTGTTTCGCTGAGACTTCAGCTCCTTTCCCACCGGTTACACACCTGGCCTCACCTTATCTACGTAATTAGCAACCTCCACTAGTTTATTCTTCGTTATTTGAAGGTCATAGTTATTCTTCTGAAACTGAATGAAACGAGCACAAATCAGCATCATCCTTTAAAAACAAGCAAGAGCGTAACACACATTTAACCAGATCGTGTTATTCTGAGAATACGGAGGTGACTAACCCAGTCAGTGCACATGTGGTGCCCAGGAGTCCCCCTTCAGTGCATACACCAGACCCCTATTCGCAACAGGAAGAGCTACTTCTCCCTGTGCGCCAAGCTGGCGGTATCATACCACCGTGATGCTAGCCATCGAACAGAGCAACACATGTTCATCCTAGGTGAGAATCCCCTGGCCAGACATTTACGTAAAGAGCTGACTAATTTGCCGTGTTACACACAAGGTAATGTAACTTCATGCCTATAATTAGCACAACCACAGCACTTATCATAGAGGATTCGTTACACAACTCACTTACCGGACAAGAATGATAGCTGCACTGCTTCATTTAAAACACTTTTGGCCCATTGAAAACATGTGGTAAATAATGAGTTAACTTGGCAAATAAGGTTTGATCCACGTACTTAAAACAAGTTCCTAAAAGATCTTTTTTAAACCAGACGGGGGGTTCTCACTGGAAAAGCTGGGGCATTTCTTCTTTTAAGAGGGGGCAGTTTGCATTGATCACATCAAGGGTTTGACTAACGAAAGGGGGAAGAACATCTGGCAATCCCTGGATAAGCTGCGTTTTCGCACAATCTCTGCAGTCTCCTGATGCCTAACAGAGGCGAAACACCCAGAATCTGCCTCTCTAGTGTCATTCAGAAGAGGTTACAGCCAATAGCCCTGAAGGAGCTGTGCAATTTTAGCATCAGGCTGTAACTTTATGAATGGGGCTGACCTCCCTACCCCACTCTGTGTGATAATTAAATGATCAATTAAACGTTGTCAGGTTTGGGATGGTATTGAACAGCTTCGACACAGAAAGTTTAGATTCGCAGCATCTGAAACCTCAGCAAGAGCTTTCTTTACCTCCACCACTAAATACCAACGGAGATAGTAGCTAATCACCTGGATTTCTGTAGGGAAGGGACAGGGAATAGAATTAGGGGACCAGATTATCCCTGAGAAACCCCACAACCCCAAATCACAATCTGTAGAGAGCCGTCTATTCCAGGAGCAACATCATTAAACATGGAGCTGTGTAACTGAGTGAATGCTCCTGCATGCTGACTGCTAATAAGATATGGAGCCTTTTCACATTAGGTCACTGGTTAGCGTTACCCTGGGTTTTCAGAACCCCAGCAGGGGTAACATAACGGTTTCACTTCAGGTGGTGCCAGGAATAATCAATGGGAACACAGCAATTCTGTCTGATAAAAAGATTAATGAAAGTCAGCGTGTTCTATCTAAAACGGCAGTTTATTAGATTTAAGCACACACAGACATAAGCGATAGGCTTTGAACATCCCAGATATTTACCTGAACTCTGGAACAGTATTGAGTAATTAACAGTGGGTTCGCAGTGGCCAGTTGCTCACCCACAGGAGAGAAAAGGTGTCCGAAAACACATTTCTCAAGATGGCTTTAGAGGACTGTTCCAAAAGTATACTCTATTATCTAGACTTTTTATAACTAATTTCTACAAAACACATAGGTCATAATGATCCTCCTGGATCATAACTTTTCCTAACTTTCAATAAACTTCTAATATCAGAGGCATCTAGACTCAAGGTTTCCATCCACGTATCTTCTTTCTGTCTCAGTTATTTACTTTTCTTTCCCCTCCTCCCACTCTGATTAGCAGAAACTGCCAGCTAGATTTTGACCTTGCATCTAAAAGCCTGCTTTCCAATTAACTGTTAACTATGTGGTGTTCTTCTTTATTAACGCATGGTGGCTGAATGCTCATAATACGGTTGCAATTGGCTTGATCACATTCTGAGGTACACACACCCCTCAAATCCAGGGTAACTGTTAGTAGTCAGTGCAGACTGGTAATGACAGGCGATAGTTACACCTCTGATGGCTGTGCAGTGACCTACTTGAAATAAATGGGTGGGCTCAACCCTAGTCACTTGTCCATATCACAGTTTCCCCCTCCTATTGGCAATAAGTAACGTCTTTCCTGGGTATTCTCGGAGTGGTGGGGGACCGGGAGGGCAGGGAAGTGGAACCCCATTCTGTACACCCTGCCGGGATCCCTCCACATCAGGGATTAGAGGAGAAAGCTGCCCCTGCCAGTGTCTGCACTCTACCTGTTCTGCAGCGAGAGAGATTTGCCATGGACCCAGTTCTCAGCCGGTGTAAACATGGCGTATTTCTCTTACCTCTGCATAATCAGCCACCAGCAGCAACTCCACGTACTTCGTAGACTGCAAATCCTCCCGCTTCACCTGGGACAGAGCACCCCGCAGGTTAGTTGTGGTTAATCATTTTTCTTGTCTGGCAATGGCTGCCTTACTGACCATTCCCCTGCCCCCCGTTACACACAGACACTTGTTTGCTTCCGTTACATCGTTTGAGCGGCCACTAATTCCTAATCGCCGTCTTCCTTTTGGAGGAACTGCATCCCCTTGGTTTCATGTCCTCAGCCCTGCTCTTGGAGGACGGCAGGCTCAACCTGCTCAGAGGTGATGACCCACACCCTGCCGCATGTTGCAATGAGTGCCCTCGCTTACGTGATACACACTCACCCTGTGATGGTGTGCTGTGGCCCGGCCTGTCAATGTGTTGAGCAAGTGTGTGGTTGTGGGCTCTTTGTGCAGATATCCACAGGTCCCCTTGGGAAGCCTCAAATGTTCTGATCGGTAGATCAAGTGTTGATCCTGGCTATCGGGGACCGGCTCCAAGATGTAACTGAGGTTGCTGCTCAGTACTATAAGACCACTGTTGAAATAAGAAGCAGTGAGAGAAAGGACAGTTCAGTGGTTAGTCTAGGGTCCAGAAAACCAGCATTTAATTTCCTGCTCCGCCACTGACTTCCTGTGCGATCTTGGGGAAGTCACTTAGGCCCAACGCCACTACCTTTCACTGAAATCCTTTGACAATCTGGGCCTTAGCTTCTCAGTGTCTCTGTTCCCCGTCTGTACTCTGGGGACAATAGGGGAGTTGTGAGGATAAACACATTAGTGATTGTGAGGTGCTCAGATACTGTGGGAAAGGAAGCTAAATAAATACTTCAGACAGGGAAATGATGTTACCAGTTAATAGAAGAGCTTGTTGAGATTTTTTTTGTCTAAAATATTGTGCGCCAAGCGGCTTATCAACTGAATCACAAATTGGCCTTTTGACTAAACAAGAAAATGTTTTGTTTTTTTCATCAATAGAAATTTGAGGTTTGGGTTATTTTCCTCCTTTGCCTCATTTCCTCAAAGTGGAGGAAAGGAAGAAAAAACCTCTCTCCCCGCCTATCCCTCCCTCCCCCCCCCCATCCCTCCCTTCCCCCCTCCCCCATTTTCTGGTTGGTAAAAAGGGAAGGGAACCCAAGCCAAAAGCCTGTGCATTTTGAACCAAAACCATGTTTTTCATTTTGTTTCCCTTCATGAAAAAAAATGTGAAAATTTTCAACGGAAATGTCAATTTTAAGGGGTTTTTCCCCATTTCTCCCCCTCACAGAAAATACCATTTTCCAACCCGATCTAGTCAATAAATACAGAACTACAGCCTCTCTGGGATGCAGTCACATGGGGGCTGGGAATGTCAAAGGTGCCTGGGAGAAAAAGGCATCCAACTTCCACGGTCTTTCAATGAGAGTTGGGCACCTAATTTCCTTAGGCTCCTCTGTAAATACCAGCCATGATCAAGAACACGTTGTTTGTCACATACCCATGTGCCTTAGATAATCATTCTTAGGCCTTTTTGGCCACAGGGAAGTGGGTAAGAATTTATTACCCCCTAATACAAATGGAGAAACTGAGGTTAAGGGACGCAGGTGAGAGCCTTTTGCTGTTCTTCTGCACAGGGATGAATTTCACCCAGGCTGCTTGAAATTATACTGAAGATTGGAGAGAGACAAACCGTAACACCACTGCTGGTACGTAACAAACTGTGTTCCAAGTAGGCTAAGAGCTCCTATTTTTATCCCCTTCATGCAGGTTTAATTTCATTTCAGCCTTTGAGACACTGCAGGGGTTTGCAGTGATACCAACGGAAGCCAGGGAGCAACACATCCTTAGCACATCCCATGCAGGAATTCCCTGCCCCCCAACTGCCCCGGTCGGGACCCACCTCTGGCCGAGGCTTCTTCTGGCCAGCTCTTTTGGTCTGTGCTTCCATGCATGGCACAGTGTGGGAGGGGAACTAGCGCATCCTATTTAGCAAAGTGAGTGGCCGATAGAAAAGAGGTATCAAAGAACATAAATCATGTATATGGCCAAGGAACGCTCTTTCGTTAGAGTCTGGGGTTGTATTCAGGATGTTCTCTGGGAGTGGGGCGCGCTATCCGGATTTCATATATGAGAAGCCTGTTTTTTTTCATTTATAAGCTACTTGCTAGAGCAAGGGTTTCCAGGTGACCCCTTTCAAGCAAAGTAGGGAGCCATTGTGTGGCGCTTTGCCGCATTTCTCCTCCAGCTCTTCCCCACAAGCCCACGCTGTGCAGTGACTCAGGCACGGCTCTGTATTTCCAATACCAGCCAGGAGGCAGGAGCCCCTTTGGATAGCAGCTGCATAGGGTGCTCAGCAGATTCTTTCCCCAGGCCCCTGAAAGGTGCATTGCAGCCATAACAGACTCGGCGCAAGATCGAAGCCTTTCCCTGAGCCCTGCAGCAATAGGAATACCTGGACAAGCGGAGCAGGCTTGAGAAAGCATTAGAGAAGCCCTGTCTCTCGTATTCCCAGTGCCAGAAACACACCTCATGTCGCAGAGTTATTTTAGGTGCTGCAGAGTAATGCCAAATAAAGCTCACCCGTAAAAAGATCCAGGTTAAATTCTGCTCTCGTTTACACTGGTGTTAGCCCACGTTAATCAGCAGGGGTTGCCCCGCCGAAAGCAGCATTTGGTCCCATTGGCAGGTGCCCAGGAGGAATCCACTGGCGGGTCGCATAGCTGGGGGTGTGGGGGGGTCCCACTGAAAGCCTTGCTTCAAGCTTCTGCTGCTTCAATGCAGGCCCCGTCCTCTTCTTGAGTTCCTCAGACACAAGCCCACTGAAGCCCTGCTGGTACTCGTGGTGTTTGCTCACACGGTGGTTTATCACCGCATCATAACTAATGAGCTCACTTCTGCATAAGCTTCTACGGCCCTGGTCCTGCAAACACACCTGCATTGAATTTTAAGCACGTGACGAGGGGCTAAAAGTTAAGCGCGTGCATGAGTATTTGACTGATTGGGGTCTACGTTTGTACAGCACCCAGCACCAGGGAGCCCCAGTCCTGATCAGGGACTCTTCGTTTTCTAGCAGTAACATAGGTCAACAGCAAAACCTTAAGGGCCAACATCCGAGAATGCAAGCAACCCTTATGAGCACCCCCGTTTGCTAATCACAAACCCCACCTTTACAGGGACAAGCAGGCGTTCGTGTTTGCAAATGGGTAACTGCTCCTTTACGTGCCCTATTCTCAGACCCCTGCCCCATCCCCCTCTCACACATCTCTAGAGATTGCACAGCCCTCTGAGCGTCGCCCTCGACCTTAAAGGGGCCTCCTTGCTGTCCGCGCCGTCGCTCGCTCAGCTTTGTGCTGGGAAGCTGCCGAGTTTTGTGGATGAAGCAGCAGTTTATCCAATTTGGAGAATCCATTTCAGTCGTTTGCTGCCCACTCAGGCTGTGGGGCTGTGCCTGCGACCGAGGCACATGAGAAGCCAAGGGTATCTTCATCCCTGGCTCTCTTTAGAGCATAACCGTATTGCAGGGGCCTGTCACAAACTACAGAATTACCCCCAGGCCGTGTTGCTCCAGGGGCGCTTACAGCAGGGTGGGCGTGCAAAGAGGCTCCCCCATCTTCTTGCACTCCATGCAGTGATGGGATACGATTGCAGGCCTTCCGTTCCACACAATGGGAGCCGTTCTCCCCGTCAATCATCAGGGCACAGGACAGCCCGGAGAAGACAGGGTCATGCCCCCCCTCACTCTATTCTTTGGTATTTGTACTGCAGTAACAGCTAGCCGCCCCAGTCTCAGACCAAGATCCGATTGTGCTGGGTGCTGTGCAAACACCGAGTGAGAAGATGGTCCCTGCTCCTAAGAACTTAGCCAACAAAACCAGCCAGGTGCCGCATGCTGTACCCCGTGAAGAGGAAAAGCAGGGAGGACGCTCAGCCGCTGGCAGCTTGGCTTCACTGACTTCAGCTGGTAAATCAAGGGTCACAGGATGGGGCCCTTTCTATGGGGCGCCCCCACACATTTGTCGTGCAATATCAAGTCGCTAAAAATCGCACTAAGACAGTTTCCTGGTGGAAAGTATAACGACTTCTGGAGGTTTTCCTCTTGCAAGTGCATTTTTAACCATACTCCTAGGTGCTACGTTGCCGTTCTCCCCACATTGTAACAGAAACCTCGTTTGTACTATTGTAATCAAGGGCTGATGGAAGGATGTTTCCCATGTGGGTCTGTTTTTCTCAACTGGCCTTTTTCCACGCAGCAGGTTTGGAAAGGCTCCGTGTTTAATGGGGTTCTTTGCCCAGTGGAAGACGTATAGATTTGGGGGTAGAATGGCTCTGCTGGAGAGCTCTGTAGGGAAAGTGAAAACAGATGTGTGTGCTCGACTTCCCTACATCGTTATTTAGAACAGTGCAGCACGATGGTTGGGGCGCGGGGCAGCAGGACTGCACACGTTAGCCGAACTAGAGCCGTTTCCTCTGACGCTAAGAATAAAGCGCCTGGAAGAATGTGGGATAAAACAGAAGTAGGGCACACCTGTGATTTCTTCTGCTTTTTTATAGCAAGTGGATTATTTATTGCAAAACACAGGTGGCCACTTTGTCCTGTTTATACCACCAGATATTTCATTTACATTGAAAGCACTTGAGGTTGTGAAGGGTTTTTTTTGGCAAGACCTGTTTCCTGACAGGACTAAATCTCTCCAGCCCGGCTTCCAACCAGCTTTCAGCTGGAGTCGATTGCAAACAGTGTCCTGTTTATAAACAGATGTGAAGTATCTTAACTGAGAGCCTTCAAGTGCATGGGATATTTAGGGTTGCCAACTTTGTAATATTTAAAAACCGGACACTCCAGCAGGAGTGCCGAAATCTCCCCTGCCCCGCCTCTTCCCCCAAGGCCCCACTCCTGCCCTGCCCCTTCCCCTGAGGCCCCACTCCCCATTTGCTCCTATTTCCCCATCCCTCCATCACTCACTGCTTTTCCCCTCTCTCCCTTCCTCCCTGCGTGGGTTGGGAGGGACTCTCCTGCAGAGCTGGGGCGGGGAGCTGCAGCCGCCCGATGCAGGTAGGAGGTGACCCTGACTGAGTAGGGGCTGACACAGGTGATGACTTGGTCCCTCCCCACCTCCCCCACCCGCAGTAACCGGACGTTGGGTGTCCAGTTAGTAGATCTGACCGGACACCAGCAGGTCCCCTTTTCAACCGGACAGCTGGCCATCCTCGTTGTGGGCCCAGATCCCCAGCTGCTGTAAGTGAATGTAGCTCTGTTGATTTCACTAGAGCGATGCTGATTTACACTTGCTGAGGATCTGGTCTTTTTTCTGCCCAGGACTAAAACTTGTTGGAAATTTGTCAAACACTTTTTAAGTGTGTCAATTCCAACAAAAAATCCCGTGGACAAAATATTCAGAAGTTATTTATTTTTTACTCAGTTTCCAACCAAAGTGTCAGTTCTGACTGGGAAAACAAGGTTTCATTGCGACAATTTCAAAACTTTTCAAAAGTTCAAGTCGAACCATTTGTTGAAGCCGACCCTTTCCCACACAAAGCTTCGCTTTTGACCAATCCACGTTTTCTGGCCAAAAACTTTTAGTTGGAAAATTCCCGACTAGCTCTAATGCTAACAACCTTGCTAGGGTGTCACATGAGGGGATGCCCGACTTGTTTTGTCAGGGCTTGCTTGAATCTTACCGTAGCCCTTTGCACGTGCTGAGTGTGACGCTGGATTGTTCCAGGCCTCGCACAACACCATGGTAGAAGCAATGGTCCTGGAAAGGAGAAAGGAGATTATCAAGGGAAGGAACAGTTTGGTGAGTTCTTTTATTGTTGGAGGGTGGAATTAACTCCTGGGCAGAAAGGACCAGTACAGGACCTGGGTGCTGCTAAGTCCCACGTGAGCAATGAGAGAGCCTTTAATTCTCTCTAGTACTGTCCCTTCTGCCACCAGGTGAGACTTTAATGCAACAACAACAACAACAAACAGTGGTCCCGATTCAAACCTAGCATCTCAGCTGTCATAACATGGCCTTGTGGACATGCATGAACATGCTCTTCATTGCTAATAAAATCTAAGGTGCTGTAACATCCCGAGGAACCTTCACAGACGAGCCGACCGGGCTTGATCCGAAGCTTGCTGAAGTCAATGGGAATCTGTCTGTTGACTTCAGCTGGCGTTGGATCAGGCCCTGAAGAATGTGCTGACCTCATACTTTAGTTCTATAAAGGGTTATATGTTATAGACCGGAAAGTCCATTTAGATGGGCTCATCTCAAGACAAAAGGCAGACTATGGTAGGAACAAGGAAGCCACTCGGGCCAACATGCTGACAGCATTCCACCCCAGCCCAAACTCCTCACCCAGCTGTGTGCCTCCGGGAGGAGAGAGGGGAGCAAACAGTAGCAGGGAAAATGATCTCATCGTCTTTATCTTTTAGTTTAAAATTCTAACCAATGTATATCTTTGTGCAACTGCAGCCGAGAGTCTTGGTCTGAGATCGGTAATTCATGATGATTTTTCTGACCAGGAGCCAGCTGGCATGGGCTAGTCATGCAAAAGGCTGGGAACATAGCAAGCATGGAGCTCGCACTTTGCAAAGAGCAGTGTCAATGAACCGCAGCATTGGAAGGCAATGGGGCTGAGTCTCCTAAGTCCTTTCAGTGCTTTGGAAAATTCTCTCTCTGCTCTGCTTTATATTCGTTGGGGTGAACCCAGATTGGGTATTTGGGATCTGGTGAAGACCTTGTGGAATACTGCCACTGGAATAGGATATTCAGCTGGCGTTTTATTGGAGCGCTACAACTCCACCTGCGGGCAGAGGCAAACAATCAAATCTGCTCATACACAGAAGAGTTTTGTTCCTCGTAAAGGAAAAAGCAGCATTTTCCCCAGGTCTTCGCTTTCAAGAGCTGCAAAATTCTGCAGAGACTAAAAAGAAACGGCTAGAGGCCGACACAGGAAGAGGTTTCCCTGCAGATCTCTGCCACTGCCCCACAGACCTAATCTGCAGCATCCGTCAGACTGTGCCCACCCAAGAACTCATCTGCGATGGGACCATTGACTGGCCAAAGGTTTGGGGATGCAAACAGTTGCCCACTGGAGACTTCTACAGCTGAGAATTCCAAACTCAATTCACATTCAACCCAGTCCAGTTGGGAACTCAAGTCTCCAGAAGATGAAGCCCCGTCCCCTCTCTGTACCCTCTCCTTGGATTTGCTTGCATGGTCTGCATACTTACTGTGTGGTTGAAAGTGATGGTGTGGGGCCTTCCAGTCTGGGTATAGTGGGTTTCAGTGTAGCCTGGGGCAAAGAGGTGCCTACCAATAGCAAGGCAAAGACAAAAAAAAAGGACATTTCTTTAGACTTGGCACATTATTATTGAATCATCTCTGCTGGGATATCTGACAATCACAGTGCAAGAAAGGCCTGATCCAGCTACCATTTCAATCAATGGAAACACGCCCATTAACTGCAGTGGGTGCTGGATTGGGTCCTAAGGCATTTAGTGTGGGAGTTCTTTGTTATGAGTCTCATAGACTTCAAGGCGACAAGGGACCATCATGATCATCTAGTCTGATCTCCTGCGTGTTGCAGGCCACAGAACATCACCCACCCACTGCTGTAATAGACCCCTAATCTCTGGCCGAGTTACTGACATCCTCAATTCATGATTTAAAGACTACAAGTTACAGAGAATCCACCATTTACACTAAACCTGCAAGTGACCCATGCACCATGCTGCAGAGGAAGGCAAAACCCAGGGTCTCCGCCAATCTGACTGGGGGGAAAATTCCTTCCCAGCCCCCAATATGGTGATCAGTTAGCCCCTGAGCATGTGGGCAAGGCCCACCAGCCAGACCCCTGGGAAAGAATTCTTTATAGTAACTCAGAGCCCTCCCTATCTAGCGTCCCATCACTGGTCATTGGAAATATTTGCTGCTAGCAGTCACAGATGGGCGACATGCCATTGTAGGCAGTCCCAGCATTCCATCCCCTCCATAAACTTATCAAGCTCAGTCTTGAAGCCAATTACATTTTTGGCCCCCCACTGCTCCCCTTGGGAGGCTGTTCCAGAACCTCACTCCTCTGGTGGTTAGAAACAGTCTAATTTCAAGCCTAAACTTGTTGATGGCCAGTTTATCTCCATTTGTTCTTGTGCCCACCTTGGCGATTAACTTAAATAACTCCTCTCCCTCCCTGATGTTTATCCCTCTGATGTATTCAGAGGGGAATCATATCTCCCCTCAGCCTTCGTTTGGTTAGGCTAAACAAGCTATAACAAACACAGAATAAAATTGAACGAAGTGAAAAAAAACCCCATGGCCAATGGAAGATGAGCCTTTTGGGGGCGGTCAGTACGGAGCTTTTCTCTGGTACATATTCCACATTCTGCCACGCAACATTTACCTCTAAGACAGCACTTTCCATCTGCCAAGCCCTCCACTAACACACTGTCAGAAACAAGAGAGGGGCTAAGGGCTTGCACACAACATCAATGCAATCAGAGCATCTGCGAGATCAATATTATATGTCCCCTCTCCCTACCCAGAGGAACTTGAGTGGGGAGAGGCGCGGAAGTTCAAAGGTTAATGGCCATTGACAACCGCATTCAGATCATTTGGTCTCATGAAATACACTCATACGTGTAAGTGCTCAGCTAGTCATCTTCCTAAGTGCCCCTTCAAACCATTTATTAAATGAAATCAGGACAAAGGAAAGCGTGCCTGTGAATCCCAAACTCGGCCACTGAATGATTCCCCGCTATGTAGCACTGTGCCCACACGGCCAGGCCCCCCACTGGCACCGCTGTATTTTGGTTCATTCAGAAATCCTGCCTCCAGTTTCAACAAACTCCAATGGTAACATTTTTTTAAAAATGAAATAAATAAATAAAATGGCAAAGAGTAAAAAAAAAAGCTGATGCCCCAGCCAGGTTCCCATGGGACACGGAACAGCACGAATAATAATTTCCTGTACAATGATGATTTGCAGAGACTTGGGGATGCAATATGAAGAAAACCACAAGATTTCACTTGAGGTTTTTAGTCCCTCTACAGGACAGGGACTGCATGTTCTTATGTGTTTGAGCAATGCCCAGACCAATGGGTTCACTGATCCTCTGGTACTATTGGCACATAGATTCAAAGATTTTAAGCCCAGAAGGGAATGTTTGACCATCTAATCTGACCTGGCCATAGAATTTAAGAACATAAAACCAAAGGACTGGAAGGGACCTCCTGGTTTGAATCCAGTCACAGGCTCCTCTGTTCATGCAAGTCATTTCATCCAGTTACTCCCGTACCGAGCCCAATAACTTGTGTTTGGCTCAGGAATCTCTCCAGAAATTCATCCAGTCTTCAGCCAACGACACCAAGAGATGGAAAACCAATCATCATTGTCTCCAATGAAAATGGGGATCGTGCACCTTGTGTTTTGACATTAGGCCATAAAAGTTGTGATCCAAATACATCATGGTTGAAGCCTGGGCCTGTTCAGATTCCGGGTTTGGGTTCAGTCCAACGTGCATTTTGGGGGAGGGGAACCAGCTGTGAAGTCTGGATCCAGCTTGAGCCATAAATTTCCCCCAGGGTTGTGGGCTGTCCATGGCTGTTATAAGCCCATCTCTGCTCCTGTTACAATGTAATGGCCCAAGAATGGACTCAGCTGGTGCCATTTCACAGCTCGCAAAACCTTCTTTGGCATAGGAACAAGGCAAAGTTTGGCATCCTATTTAGGACCTGGCCCTGTGCTCCTTATAGAGGCAAAATTCTCCCTGAGTTCAACAAGGAGCCTGGGATCCTGGGAAAGGCAAAGCAAGCTGGATTGCTCTCAGCACTTCACTCGTACGCATTTGGATTGGGTGCCGGGGCGATGCGGCTGTGACGCCGTCTCCTCCTCCGCTTTCGCCCAGATGGCTGAGTTTGCAAAACTAGGACATAAGATTGGCTCGTGAATGGCAAAACTGAGAGAGCCGCAACCCGTCTCCATCTCGGCAGCAGCAAAACAGGGCAGATCCCGACAAAAACCAGCCAGCCCATCTCGAAAAGCCTGTAAAACGACCGATTGCAGATATTTACAAAGCACCCCTTGCTGTACTGTCGACTGGCTAGGCATCACACTTGGCATCACGCGAGGATGCCATAGTTGGGAACTGTGATATTCAGCCTCGGTGCCAGCTCCTACTCAGCTGCTCCTCACGAGGGGTTGGTACATTCCAGGCAGCGGAGTTCTTAAAGGGCAAAGTGGGGTGGGCAGAATGTGCTTGTGCCCTTTTTATGCTTTATAAAGAAGGCCTGATGGGTTGTGGGTTCCACCCTCCCCCAAGTAACAAAATGTAAATGGTTATTTCTTTAAATGGCTTGTTTTTTGACAGGAGGCATACAGGCCTTGTCACTCCTGGAAGACTCTATGGTTAGAGAATTAGCAGGTTTAGGACATCAGAGATACCAAGAAAGTGAAACCTGACTGATTGAATAAAAATCCCTTCCCCTTCCAGAGTGTCTGCAACTCTTTCTCTTGCCCTATATTTAACTCAAATCCTTGTGAGAAAAGCTCGGGCTGGCTTGGTTAAGGATTCAGTCCCGAACCCCTTCAGTTAAGGGATGGAAAGATCCAATCCACCTCTCCGAGTCATCCAAGAAGTGCTCCAGAAAAACCAGGAAAGACCAGAATTCCCAATATTCCTAAGGGGAAAAACAAGCAAAATAAATAAATAAACTCCAGACTTTTCTAGGGGGAGAATAAACCCTGTCAAGTCATCTTTACAAATCACAAAGAAGGAAAAAAAACCTCCTATTTTTTTTATTCCCCCTTTGCAGGTCGCCTCTAGGCGATGTGATCACTCTCTCCCCAGCAGGCAGCCCACTGAGACTTCCATGTAGGTTGCATTTCCCTGAGCTAAATGTAAACAGCACTCTCAAAAATGACTTGCAAGTGTCTCATCTCCTGAGACGCCCCTTTCTCCCTCGCCAGGCTGCAATGGAAAATGTGCTTTCATGCCACAGACGAGACTGCCGCTTGCCTCCATGCAGATAATGATTCTTTTCAAGACGGGGAGAAGTAGAAGTCATGTTTGGCAGCGATCCGTTTGAGCCCAATTGATGTCTGGAATACAACTGCTTTTATCTCTGCTTTCAAACTTCATTGTAGCCCAGCAAAGCTCATGTGGCTTCTTTCTGATGTGCTAATGCTCATCACTGGATACCTCATCCTTCAGTTGTATTGGTATGAGCTATTTCAGATCTGTGAACAGCCGATAATCACAGAAACACCATGCTACGGAAAAAGGTCTCCTGACTATCCTAACTTGCTCAGCATGAATCTGCAAGAAACAAATGTTTCATCACCAAATTGCATTAACTTCCAGGAAATTGCTTCAAGCAGTGTGTTTATGAGAGGCTCTGGATTGTGTGAAAGTCTCTGCTGAGAACCTATGGGGCAGATCCTCAACCGGTGTAAATCGACATTGCCCCGCTTAAGTCAGGAGGCAGGATCAGGCTCCTGGCCAGCAGATCTTACATCAGCGAGGCTCTGGCCTTCATTGCCCACTTTTCAAACATGCTTTCTCTGGCACTATGCAGTCGCTTTGTGTCAAACTGCCAGCCCTAAAGCTGGCATCACTGTCCCAAAGGCAATCACCCCACTGCAAGGTGATATAAGGCCAGCCAGCACAGGCGCTGTCAAGCTCTTTCTCCCCCTTCGCTGACGGTGTGTCAGGAAAAACAGGGCATGGGTGGAGGAAAGGATCCGTGGGGCTGGGAGTAACTCTCTGCCATGCTGATTCCTGGCCATGGTTTCAGGTATTGGGGCGATCTGAGGCCTGCCTAAGTTAGAGTAGACCTCAGGTTGCTCTAACCAGCAGAGAGGCCGGCTCTCAGCACCCACACTCACCCCTCCCTGACCTGCACGCATCAGCTGCACCCCAGAGCATCCGACTTCCCCGTGCTGGAGCTGGGAGGCTGGCTGGAAAGAGGCTGCTGCTGCCAGTTTTCATGGAACGGACATCCTGGGGAGCCAGGTCAGCTCTGAGCAAGGCAGCCAAATGAGCAAAGGCCTGGCCTGCTGCCACAACGTACAGATGTCTTAAAGACGCTGTTCTGCTGAAGACCGGCTTGGAGTGATCTTGGCCCAGTGCAGCTCCGTCAATGATGTCATTGTTTTAAACAAAGGGCCCATCTTAATGCCACTGAGCTGCTGTGTGAACGGGGCTGCGGGGAAGGCCTGGTCTCCTAATTCAGGGGTGTCTCTGGTTTGCGGTCTCAGACACAGCGACAGGGCAGGTCAAGTAGTCAGTGAATGAGGCTGACGGCATTTTGCG